TATTCCTCCAAAGTTTGGGATCATTTGTGTTTTGCTTCTGATTTTCTTCTCCCTCTCTCCTCTGTACCTTTTCTAGCATCTCTGGTTTCACAGTCTTTGCACTAATTTTCTGGCGCTGCCTTTCCTAGGCTGTTTATCTGTGGGCTAGTAGTGCCCCCGCATGGCCAGGATGATGCATTACAGGTGACTTCATTCAGATGAATTGACCTTTGTCTCCTAACTGTACTCTCCAAGTTTCAGTTCCATTTATTTTTCCCTCACCGGTGTTCAGCTGGAGCTAGAAACAGCCTTTGTGTTGCTGTAGCCACAGATTGTGGAGTCTCCCACTCGGCCACCATCCTGTTCGTTCTCGATGACGGGGGCGTTTGCTGCAGCACTGCACATATTACAGAAAATCTGGGCTTTTTCAAGAGAAAAAAAACTTGCAGTAAAAGGTCTGGTGCCTTCAAAAAACAAAATCTAGCCTGCGTCGATAAACGACCTCAATCTAATTGTTTTATTTTGAAGCAGTGCGACGTGGTCAGTGAAAATCTGGTGACCATGGGCGATATCTGAACCTGTGCTCAGCATAGCTGTTGCCATGGTAACTGTAAAAAACTGGTAGATTGAGTTATAATTGGACGGAGCAAATGGTGGGTTGTGGGAGGGAGAAACAGGCGGATTAAGAGATGAGAGTGAGCGGATGCGGTGCCATGGAAAGGTAAAGGGGAGGAGGAAAAGTTACTTGTGTGAAATCGTGCGAGTTTGACAGGTGCAGCTGTGGGGTAGACACGCAAACACACATGTGCACAATGTCTGTGAGAGGAGACGGCCAATAAAAGCTGCTGAACACCTACACAAACACTGCGCCGCCAGCACGGCAGCAAAGAGAGCGAGCTTGGCTCGGCTAGTGGGGAATTTCTCCTTTAGCGTTTCTCTTCTCACCTTTTCTTGTGATCAGGACTTCTGACTAAGATCCAGAACTCTGTGGTTTTCCCACCGACACCTCATGTTGACTTCATCTTTCACATGAAACTTTGTTCACGTGTAATTATCAGATTTTCTCATCTACTACTCTAATAAATAGTTCCTCTTAGTTTTACACAAGTGCGTTTTATCAAATCCATCATTTATATTCGCGTCAGATAGAAAAATGAGGCAGTCTTGGTTTGTGTAAGCGTTTGACGTGACCAGTGGCTGTAATCCTCATCCCTGCCCCCTTTTCACCTTCTTTGCTTTCTCAACTCCCTCACATGGTGCTTTCTGGACTGACTTGTGGAAAGCTCAAACAGTTGAAAAGCCGTAATCCCCTCCTCTCATTGTTCTACTGTCTCTTCCTTTAATGTTGAAAAGTTTAACTCTTTGCACATCAGGAAGAAGCAGGAGTCTTCTTTGCTCGTGGCAACAGCCCGGAGCACATGGTAAAGACCGCTTTTTGTTTCAAATGGAATAAATAATTCTTTGTGGGTTTTTCTTTGATTGGATGATTGATTCAAACCCTTTTCAGTTGACATATTCTAAACCTGAACCCAAAGAGTTAATGTCTCTACTACAGAGCAGCAGCTTACCAGCAGCTCTCGCTGGTCCTATTGGTCAGATATCAATCCTGATGTGGTGACTGGCCCAAAGCGGCAGCTGCGTCCCTCCCAGCATTGTATTTTTCTAACATGAGTCAGACTCTTAGCTCTATTACATGTGTATTTTGTATATTTTTGTTTCATCTGTGTTATGCAACAGCCTTTAAACGCTCCCTCTGCTCCCCTCCCGTGTTCTGGTCCCCAACCTTTCCTCCCTTTAGGAGAAGTTCTCTTTTCACAAGTTGTTTTCTCTTCAACCCGCCCACCCACCCACCCATCTCTCCCGTCCTCCCTTACTGAAAATGACTCCTAGTCTATTTTTACCCTCTAGTCTTCTCTGATCTTAGCCTGTCCCACACGTTTTCCCTCTCTTTTCAACCATCCCTCCATGACGTGCTGTTCTTGAGTGTTTCCAGCAGTTTACACATTTTCAATTGTAGCGAGATCAGTGTAAGTTTCGAGCAGCTAATATAATTGGTAGACATGAATAAAACTCATCTCCTGCGATAAAAACTATTATAGTTTTAGAAACCATATTTTGGCAGGTTTTCATAAACTCACATAAATCAGAATCACAATGGACACTGATTTGTTCTCACCTCTTGAACATCAGAGGTAGGTAAATAGTAAAGAGCACTCTAGGTATCAAACTTGAGGATGTGTAATGGGGAGGGCTGTCATCATACTTCTGTTACGCCATTGGTTGGCCTAAATCTGAGTCTCGGCGTTTGATTCGCTGCGTCACACGTCAGTCAGGGTTTACTACGACTCCTCCACCAATGACACGAGTCTGTAGGCGGGCTAATGGAGAGAAACTAGAAACACGCACCTAATGAGCGTCATCTCACCACCAGGTTGTGTTTTTAATTCAGACGAATGAAAATTGTTATTTATAATGTTTTGTTTTATTGTGTTGTTGAAACAAGGTTAGAATGCGAGTTAAAACGAATTCACAGTGTTGAGCCCGGGTCAAATTTGCATATGACTGGCATTCCAGCGCACAGGCCAGCCAATCAGGTTCTGCGGAGGGCAGATGACGAGCGGCTGCCTTGGCCAATCGTTTGGCAGAGTTTTCCGTAAGGGGCGGGACAAGGCTGGGCGAGGTTGACAGGATGAGAAGGGGAGGGGGCACAGGAGTGGAGGGGGGGTGGGGGTGGGAGAAGCAGTCTAGTTTACAACAAGAGGAAGAGGGAGGGAAAGAGAAAGAAAGGGTTCTGAGACAAAACGAGATTAAAATACGGGAATAATCTCAGGCTGTGAGCCGCGGAGATGCGGCTGGAGGACTTTTCTGGGCCAAAGCAGCAGCCATAACAGCGGGAAGCAAGCGGACCGGACGGAGCGTGCCGATGTCGTCCGCGCGGATTGTTAGCTAACCTGCTGCAGACTGACGGATTCCTCTTTAATCAGACCTTTAAAGGCCCCCACGTTGAGTTCGGGTCGGCTTTTTGTTTTTACATCCGCCAGCCGTTCGCTGCCTGGGAAACTTGACCGAGAGGGACCGGAGGAGTAAGGAAAACACAACTACGGCTCACCCCCCCCTCCTTCCCGTTTCTCCTCGCTGACTGGAGCCAGGAGTCTTCACCGTGGTGGCTTTAATCGCTGTTGTGGTCTCATCGGGTCGCTATCTCGCTTTAGCTTCGTGTCCAGATTGGCCAGGCGGGACACGAGCAGCGGAGGCTGTGGGGCTGGTGATGGATGAACGCACCGAATATACAGCAGCTGCTTTTGCGTGTTAGTGTTTGGAAATAACCCCACGTTGGGTTGTGATCAGGTTAAAACAGGTGCACAAAGCGGTTTTACTGGGTTAGTAATTACAGGAGCGAGTTGCTATTTGGGGAGTTTTGCACTTGCAGAAAGCTCTGTGGGTTTGGGGAACAGTCGTGTGAACGCACACTTTCTGTAGTTGGGGGACATGAGAACAACTGCGGCTCTTTCGCCTCCGTCTGTGCGCCGGGTGCGCGACCAGGGGCGTTCCCGAGAGGTTGGTCCAATTTGGAGCGGTGCACTTGAGGCTCCGGCGTGTGTTTTCATGTTGAAATGAGCAGACATTAGCTCTGGTGTTAAATAAGCGAACACCCAAGGGTATAGTTATAACATCCTACAACTTAAAAGTAGTCCAGTCACATCAGTTTGGGTTTCTGCTCGTGGAGCCTCACCGGCTCGGGTCCGTCCTGCATCAGCCCTTCGGCGTAGTCAGCCTGGGCCTCTGAACCCGCACAGGCCACCTGCCTGCTGGTAAAATGTAGCACGGTGCACGGTTTGGCATGGCCCAGGAAGACTGCGTAGTCCCCGGGTGGCTGTTGTAACCCAGGCCGTGGATGGGCTGGAGGCCTTGTTAACCCCTTCATGACCGAGCCGCTCGTACTAATATAAACAAACAGGAAGAGAGGGCAGCGGGGGTAATTAGACCAAAGGGAGGAGGAAGTTGGCCTCCAGTCATATTTTAATTTCACATCGTTGAGTCCCGACAAACAGAAGCCGGGGTTTGTTTTCTTTTTGATCTTCTGTCGTTTCTGTGGTACATTTTGTCCACTGATGTTGCGTCGCTTGGTGAGATTGCGGCATTTTGTGCGAAGCTGAAAACATGGACTCAAGTCTTGCATTTGAAAGCCAACCAGGATACCCGCGCGTGCCACCTCTCTAAAACCCTCCTCGTGCCGGGTTGTGATCGTCTTACCTGATGTCTGCTACCTGCGAAACTGCCCCAGACTCCATTGAGCACATGTCGTCATCTGTAAACTCCCCATCAATACCACTGCGAGATCTTTGGATTAAAGATGCTTCCCGGCCTGGATTGTTTGTGTTAATTAAAAGGATGTTTTAAAGGACCTTATCGGTACTTTTATTGTTATTATTTGAGAAACGGCAAGGATTTGATTCAGCTATGTTTTCATCAGAGAATCCCCAGTATCTTCGCCAAGGATTAAGCATGTTTGGTTAGTACTTGTGTTGCATCTTTGTGCTTGTTTAACAACACTGTGCCTTTCTAGCAGAATGTACACACACACAGCTGTTGTGTATCATTGTGTCGTCAGTAATGTATTTACCTGTTCTGACATCATTTCATGGAAAAAGGTCCTTTAGTGCATCAGCTGTGGCTGTAGTGATTTAACCAGTATGCTTCTGATTTTTCTGACAGTTAAAAAATGAATCCGTTCAGTGCTGTCAGTAACATATACCCCAGGTGTTAGAAGTTCTGCTATCCTAAATTATATTAAAAAGTCAGAAGTTTTAATCATTTTCCAATCTGATTTAAAGTTTTTATCAAAGTGGGTCATTTGATGAGGAATGCAGCTGATGTGTGGGTGTTGTGCAGAGAGCTGTGCATCATCCCAAATCAAGAGTCAGCATCTTCTGAAAGCCTTTTCCATGTGAAGTGAATGATATCGTGTGTGTAGATTTATACCGTGTCTTTTGACAACGTGCTGCTCTTTTTCCCTGCAGTGTGGACCAATGTGGAGCCCCGGTCAGTCCCAGTCTTCCCTTGGCACTCATTGGTCCCTTTCCTGGCGCCCACCCAATCAGATGCTCCTCCTCAGCCAGGAGAGGGCCAGCATCCGGTCAACCATCCTCAAACAGCCAGTCTAAAGACAGGTAGTTTGTACGTTCAGTAACGAACCAAACAGCTGTTCAGATTAGTGTGTGATGCACCGTGCCCTGGCTGTTGTGTTTCCCCAGACTGTCCGGGGGTGGCAGCTCTGTCACAGGAGGCTGCAGAGGCCCCTCCCACTGTGGAGAGAGGTCCCCCACCCCGGCCTCCCCCGTCCTGTGACGAGCCCCTTCCGGAGAAGGAGAAAGAAGATGCCGAGCGGGAGAAGCCTGACAGTGAGACCGAGAGCGATGTGGATGACCTGTAAGAGCAGTTCCTGTTTTAGTTTTTGGTTCCAATGGTGACGACCGTTAAGGAGTCACTTAGGCTGCGTGGTGGCGCAGTGGTTAGCACTGTTGCCTCGCAGCACGAAGGTTGCAGGTTCGAAACTCGGCTGCGGCCTTTCTGCGTGGAGTTGCGTGTTCTCTCCATGCATGTGTGGGTTTCCTCCGGGTACTCCGGTTTCCCCCACAGATCACAACACGCCCTATAGGTTATAAATTGTAAGTCGCTTTGAATAAAAGCGTCTGCTAAATAAATAAACACAAACATATTTGCAAACAGCGCAGCCATAAAGCCCCATTAGTGTCTGTCTATAGAAACAGCTACCTATTGGTCCAAGTCAGGCTTCACACTCATTTTCTTTGTGGTGCGCTGAACCCACACACCAAGTGAACGAGTGTGATATTTTCTGTGCTTTTGCTCCAATTTGGGCAGAAGATCTGAACACCAGAACAAAGCAGAAAGAAAACAAAAGCATTTTATCTTTGGTCTCTATAACAACATGGCCAGGCTGTCAGCCACTCAGACAGAGGAGCTGAACACGCTCGTGCTCTCATGGGAAGTACTTCTCGCTATAGAGCAAGTAGAACCCGCTGTCAAACGTAGAAGTGTTTTTGTTCATATTAGGAGCAAATAGTTTGTTAAAATCTAATTAACAGGAGTTATTTCTGCCCCTCAGCTTCCTCCCAGGAGTTGTGCCAGAGCCACCCCACTCCACCTCTCCAGTAAAGAGACGCACTCAGTCTCTCAGTGCGCTTCCCAAAGATGGAGACAAAAGCAGCCCTGGAAAGGTAGTTTTCTTTTCTCTTTGTTTAGACTCGTTTCAACATAAACATGCATTCTCATGTCTTCATGCTCCTTTTGGCCACTCTTTAGAGGGAGAAGGATCATATCCGGCGACCAATGAACGCGTTTATGATTTTCAGTAAGCGTCATCGAGCGCTGGTGCATCAGCGGCACCCGAACCAGGACAACCGCACGGTCAGCAAGATTCTTGGGGAGTGGTGGTACGCCCTGGGACCAAAGGAGAAGCAAAAGTATCACGACTTGGCCTTCCAGGTGCACAGATGATTTTGCAGACAGAAAATCAAATTCACCTAAATACCTGAGATGTGGGAACATGCATAATAAATTGTTCCTTTGTTTCTAGGTCAAAGAGGCCCACTTTAAAGCCCACCCAGACTGGAAATGGTGCAACAAAGACAGGAAGAAGTCCAGCTCTGAGGGTCGGGGTGTCCCAGGGACCAAAGATATCAGAGAGAGGAGCATGTCCGAATCTACAGGTGCCTTTATCGGATCTTTCAGTGTGCATGAATGAAAACACCTGTCAGCTTTTCTAATCTGGCTTATTGGGCTTGTTTCTAGAGCCTCATTCTGTGGAGCTGAAGGGCGTGGGTCCGGGCCTGGCGGGCATGTCTGAGAGGAGCACAGGAGAGGGGCATGTGGGCCAGCCTTCCCGCCCCAGGGCCTTTTCTCAAAGTGCCATGCACAGCCTGGAGCGGGGCAACAGGGCCAACACTCAGGCTCTGGCAGAGCTGGCGCAGGTGAATGAGAACCTCCACGGGAACCTTTTTGTTCTTCTAGTTTATGTAAAATAACTCCTCCTCCGTTGTTTTCCTGTCAAGAACAAACATGGTAGAATACAGGATGCGTCTTCTGCACGGATGTGTATTGTTGAAATTCTGGCGATACGATCACGATACAGGGGAGACGATACGATATATCACGATATATTGTGATACATTCAGTCAGACGTTACAAGCTATTTTTTTACAGAATTTATTGTAAGAATGTTCAATTAACAGTCCAAACTGATACGTAACATGTTTAACATGAGGTATCTGAACCATGATGGAGGGATTTACATTTCAATGGTGGAAACCTAACCCGTTGCACACTGCTGCCAACTAGCGGGTGGTGATTGAATTGCACAAAACAAAAAGAAAATACACATGTTTGCATGTAAATACTTTCAAGAGTTAGATACACGGCTTTTGAAAATCTATGTAATAATCGCAGGAAAAATATCACGATATATTGCCATATCGATATTTCCGATACACGGCTTTTGAATATCGATATAATATTGCTGGAAAAAATATCACGATGTATTGCCATATCGATATTTTCTTACATCCCTAGTCTTGTGTGATTAAAAAGGCTTATGACACACACACACACACACACACACACACTGCTCGCATAACTAACACTCGAGGTAAAAAATCCAAGTTGTTTTTTTTTTTCCGTAGATGTGCGGGGATGGCGGCAGTCAGTTTTCCAGCCATGTTCCAGCATCTTCTCAGAGTCAGCGGGGGGTCAGCGAGGACATGACTAGTGATGAGGAGCGAATGGTCATCTGCGAGGAAGAAGGAGATGATGACGTCATCGGTAAGAAATCCAAAGATCTTTATTTAGGCCACAGTGATGCTCTCGTGTTGCTCTCGCAGGCTTTCACAGCTCAGTTTGACACTATTTGGTTGAATTTTGACCTTTTCATTATTTTATGGATTTAAAGGTGTGGTAGACAGAACTGAGAGTGGATGACGGTAATTATGATGTAATCAACTCATCATTTAAATAATAATTATGAGCAAATGTGGTTAAAATCCATCCGTATCAGCCTTTGGCTTTCTAAGCAGTTGATGAACAGTTTCTGTTTTAAAATGAACTACAATACAGTTTAGAGGTTAAAAATTACTTGTTTTTAACCCAAAAAATCATTTTAAAATAGAAATTTGCTGTAGGATATTTTTAAAAATGTATTCTTTTGTCAGTTTTAACCCCGACTGAAGAAGCACGCCCAGTTTGAGTTAAAACGCGCATGAATGTGAAGGTTTTCAGTGCTGGGGAGAGTCGGGTGTAGCTGTAGTGTGTTGTTTCTCCACAGAGGACCCGTATCCTAGCAGCTCCATTGACCTGAAGTGTAAGGAGCGGGTGACTGACAGTGACAGCGAGAACGCTTCAGGAGATGAAGCTGATCGGAAGGTAAAACATCCGATATTTATGTTCAAATTCACGTGCATGTTTGTCTTTTTAAGACTGGTGTTTTCTCCTTTTCAGAGAGTATTTGCTCCAGTCATCTGCTCTTCTTCATCGTCTTCCTCACACCATATGCCTCATGGCAGGAGCGTCTCGCTGTCGTCCTTCCCCAGCAGCAGGCGCTACGAGGATGGGAGATCTGGAGGGGGAGGTTTGTCAGACCACAGGAGGAGGGAAAGAGGTGATGGAGAGAGCAAGGACACTCCTGGGGGTGAGGGAGGTGGAGGTTTGCAGGCTCCTTCTCTCTCAATGTCTTCTAGTCAACCAGCCATGGCCACTCCTCCAGCCGGAGGCGCTCCGTCCTCATCGGTTGGTTCGTTGGGGACGAGTCAGCTCCTGGGCGTTGGCACTGTGAGGATGGCATCCACAGTGGTGACCAATGTGATGCGCCCAGTTATCAGCACACCACTCCCCATCGCCAGCAAACCCAGAGATGGAGGTCCTTCATCCAGCCCACACCCTCCAGAGCGCAAGCCCCTGAACCCCCAGCAGCAGCCACAGCTTCTGATTGGTCCAGGAGCAGGAGGTGGGGCTGCAGCAACGGTGGGTGGGTACTATTCTTCATCATCACCAAGTCCTGTTGGTGCAGGTGTTGGCCCGGGTGGTGTAGTGACTAGTTTAGTGTTACCAGGGGCTCTGCCTGCACAGTCTGCTGTACAGCTCATCTCCCCCTCCCCTCAGTCTCAGCTCCATCATCAGGCCCTCCCCCCCACAGCGGTTTCAGCTCCATATAACCAAACCAATGGGCCCCTGCCCTTGCTTCAGCCCCAGTTCCTCTCTGCCTCGGCCCTGGCACCCCCCGGGGGTAAGGCCATCACACAGGTGCAGTACATTCTGCCCACCCTACCTGCTAGCTCCAATCCCAAGAGTCCCCCTCAGAGTCTCAGCCAGCCAACCAGCATCTTCAACCTACCCGCAGCCCCACCGACACACGTGGCCAATGGGAAACACCAGGGTGCCAGTTTACCAACAGGATATTCATCCAGTCCAGCCGTGGGCGTGGTCGGCCCCGGAGCCAGAGGTGAAAGTTCAGACCGGAGTCGCGAACGACATGGATGCAGTGTTGAGTGAGCTGCTCATGCTTTCTGTTTCTGTCTTTGCTCCAGTCCAAACTCAGTCCCCAGTGCTGCAGGGTAAAATGCTTGTTCCCATGGCAACAGTCCGGACTGCGCCAGCCCCTGCCCAGCAGTTTCCTATTGTGGCTCCACCTGTTCCTGTCCAGAATGGTGCTCAGTCTGGAAGCAAGGTCAGAGGAAACGGGAACAAACACACGTTTTAATCCATCGACTTGTGTTTCTGCTCACGGATTTAAACACCTGCAACTTCCTGTTTTGGCTCCTCCTCAGATCATTCAGATTGCTCCCATGCCCGTGGTCCAGTCCCAGCTGCCTCAGGGCGGAGCGGTGCATCCTGCCAGCCCTTTCCCCGTAACGGTGGGCACAGCTGCAGTGGTCGCTCCAGGATCAGCCCCCTCACCGGCCGTACTTCTGCCCCCAGCACCCACCAGGTAGGGGCTGACCGACAGCAGCATCCCTCAGTTCTCACCTTGGAAGTTACAAAGACTGTCGAGCCATTCACATAACTCTAGACCTACTTGTGATGTCACAGTTTGATGTTCTAAGCATACACATGAAAATAATTCAAACATGGTTGCTCTTTAAACTAAAATATACAGTTAGCATACGTGTTCAAACAATTTAACAGCAAGCTAAACCTCGGAAATTTGAACGTCTCATAGGAATACAGCAAATGAGCCAGGTTAGGAAAAGAAGTGTGAGAATTATCTTTGCTTTGTTGTCATGGAGAATTTATTTTTATGAACAAGTGCTAGGCAACAAAGGCAAATCATCTATAGGAAGCCATCCTGTTATCGTCTGTCACTCCCGCCTTTAAAGCGATCCAGTGAAGGATTTGGTGGAACGAGTCGGATCAGTGGCGGTTCTCTCAAGTTTAGTAGAGTTTTCATAACAAATGTTTAAATGTTTACTCACTCGCATTTGTATAAAAACCTCCGACAATAACACGTTTCAGACCAAAAGAAACTTTTGGACCATGCGGGTGTCGAACCGCCGCACTTCCCTGGGTCCTCCGCTCATTACCCAGCAGACACCATTGGTGTGAGAGGTTTAATCTTTCATGTTTATGAAATTTTATAATTTTACGACTTTATTTTTTCTGATTTTAATCTACTTCTGTTTTGAGATCATTATGATTTTATGACTTAGTTTTATTTTGTTTTGATCCATGTGAAGCACTTTGTGATTCTACGTCTGTGATGAGTGCTGTAGAAATAAAATGTACTGACGTCTCCGCTCAATAACACTAGAGAAGGAGAAACAGCCGGCTGCTACCACTTCAACCAGAGTCCCAAAAAGAAAACCACCATTTGGTCAAAAAGACGTTTGGACGTAGAAAACGGCGACTATCTGAGGGTTTCCGCTGTGGCTCAGGGAAGATGCCTGATGGGAGGGATGAGAATTTCAAAACCAGATTGCTTTGCAGCTTTCTCTCCTAAAGGTCGTGTTGCGAGTGTTGAATTAGAAAAAAATCAGGCTACCCAGTAAAATTAGTTTTCCTGTACTGATCGAGTCAGCATGCAGAGAAGGTTTGTCGTGACTATTTCCTTTTGTAAAACCCATAAAAGGCTTTAAAACAAACTAAAATGTGTTTCCAAACAGGCCAGATGGTCTTTTAAAAGATTGCTTTATCGTAGGAAGTCTTGTTCTCTGATTTAATACTCAGAAGAAAGCAGGGAGAACCTATTCTCACTACATTTTCACGTGTTGCCATCGAAATAAGAGTAAAGTCTTGTTATTTACAGCTTAGAATTAGGGTGGAATAAAGGATCAGACCCCGTTGCAAATGCGGGACGGACCAGATTTTTGAAACGGTGAGCCGAAAAGCACGAAGCTGAATTCCTGTCGGGGTCTGAGTAGCGGTGCAGCTCTATTCTGGATGTGTTAGTCATGCTGCTGGTGGCCTGAGTTGCCTCTGCCTGCCCACCCCCACAGCTCTAGTCATCTGCTGCTACTTGCTGTGGTTTACACTCATCGACTGACCCTCGCTGCAGCACTTCTCCTTTTGTCTTCCTCTTTCTGTTCAAGCTCATCTCTGTTCCTTACATTCTGCGTCGTCGTCGTCGTCCTACAGCACCACCCGCCGCTACGCCACTCTTGGGTTTCATTTTTAGAATAAGTGTTGTATCATCTTTTCAGCTCCACTTTTTTAATTTGTAATGGTTATTTATTTCATCCTGTCGTGCAGAATCACGTATGTCCAGTCCACTCCGGGGGCCCCGACCACCCTGCCCCTGGTCTCCACAACGACAGGCTCCTCCCCCAGCCAACAAGCTCTACCTGTGCCTGGATCTGCGTATGTTCCCTCGCACTTAGCAACGCTCGGCTTTACGGCCATCGCACCACCTGGACAGACTCTGGTTCAGCCGCTGATCGCAGGTTAGCGAAGAGAAAAGGTTTCTGTTCTTCTGTCATTTCAGTGACACGCAGGACTCGTATCCTACAGTTTATGTTCACCACTGTTAAAGGGGACATAGTATGACTAATAGTTCTACGGTCAAAACAAAATGTGTTCTTTGTACAAAATCCCCTTCACATGAAGTAAGTTCAGCAGTTATCTTTGAAGGTTTGAGTGCCTTCTAGAACGAGCCATTTCCGGGCTCAGCCACTTTAAGAAAACATACTGGAGCTGGCCACGCCCACCCATCACCTGATTGGCTGCTATTAGCTGAGAAACTTCCAATACCTAGGAGGGGCTCAGAGTAGAGTCGATTTTCCTCCAGCAGATGTCCTCTTTTGCTCATGAGAGATGGTTCTATTCTGCTTTCCCTGTTTGTGATGTCACAAATGGAAACTTTTTTAAACGGCTTGTTTTAGGCCCATAATTCCTAAAACCAAACATTGACCGAGAACAGATTGATGGTTTATTTCATGTTTGGAGTGTTTATAGAGGCAGTAGGGATCCACATGGCAGCACAAAAGTAACATAAAGATGAGTTTTGCATAACGTGTTCCCTTTAGTGAGGAAACCTAGTCTAGCCCTTTCTGCTGTCCCTCTCAGAGCACCATCACACCTGAGAGTCTGCATGTTTTTGTCACATATGTCTCGTAAAGCGTCACGCCTGCTCTCTGCCTCGTTCCAATTTTAACATTGATAAATATAGACTCAGGAGTCATCGTGCTGTTGAGTGGCTACCCTCACTAAGGAGACCGATGGCGACCCCACTTAGCAATAATGTTCCTCACAAAGTGGCCAAAGATCTGTCCATGATTAGGACAAAACCAAATAAAAAGAAACGACACCAACATAATAAAAACGGATACTAACGATACAAACAGCCATGTTCAAAAGATGGGAAATAGTTTATCTTATAAAATGTTCTGATTAACCATTAAAGAGGTCCTTTTTTAATACCTGTGCAGTGGTCTCTAGTAGGAACGAATGCCTTGTAAGAGGCACTATAGAGAAAAACCTCAGAAAGTACAACTCCTCTAAGGCAGAAGCTATCTTCAGAGGGCAGGATTTGTACTCTTATTTCCAGATATTTGGATATCTCGTCTCTGATTGGCTAACAGCAACTCAGCATTACCACTGACTCGGTTTGCTCAGTAACGTTGATGTTTTATCTGAACAAACGACACAAGCCTGAAGGCGTTCTATGATGTTGCTAATGCTAACGGTTAGCTTCTACTAGCTCAGATGTTCTCTGTTTCCCGAACGCTAAACCAACAACAGCCTTCCCTGCTGCAAGTCAAGATGAGCGAGTCCAAGTGACCGCTTGACGTAGATCCGTCAGGCTTTTCTAATCCTAGAGTTTCACCGTCGATTTTCTATCAGAAGCTGATGCAGGAGATAGGTGTAGGAGACTATTTTCATGTTCAGCCTGCATGACAGACAGAGTGATGGATCATTTTCAAAATGGTTTCAGTGAAGGAGGCTCAATACTAGGGATGTGAATCTTCGATTCCGATTCTCGGGGTGCCGATTCGATTCAGAATCAGTATTAACAAAGAGTGTCAGCTCCAGGATGAACTACTTTGTTGTACAAGTTATTTAAAGCTATGGGACGTTTTTATTTGACTTTAAACTGGTCATGCTCCAAAAAAGCTAATTTACAATGTAAAATAAAGTGATTCTAAAACTGTAAACAGAAACAATCTTTTGACCAAAAGGCTACATTTATTTTTGCTTACCTTGTAAAATATAACAAATCTGTAGTTAAGTAATACGGTCAAATACTTTTCAAGTATGTGTAGAAACAAGTTACACGAGTAATCCTGAGTACTCATTTATCAACTTAGAAAATAAATATGAGAATATCTCAAATTTCTGAGTATGGAAAAAATGACATTCAAGCGCCCTCTTATCAGCAGATTCAAACATAAATCATCTGAATTTATGGGACCACAAAAGTAAACGGAGTACTGACTCTCCTAACAAAGATCAAAAAAGTGCATCTCAAACCTGTAACGTGCCAAATATTTGAGTTCTTGGAATCAACAGAACTGGTTTGCTAACGGTTAGACCAAACCCGGTAAGACCAAAGGGTTCTGCTGCCCGTCTGGTGTTACTTAAACCTTTACAAACCCATGTGGTTTAGGAAGTCATCTCAAGTGTGTAACATATTTGAACTTTTTAACTGAGAAACCTGCTTCAGAATGACCGAACCATGCCTTTACTATGAGTAGTCCAGCTGTTTAACTGCTCTACAGTGATTTTACGTCGGAATGAGGCCAAACCAGAGGTCTGAGACTGCTTTTGTTTAATCCCTGGTTATGACGACTTTAGTCTGAGCCAAGCTCTGACGTCCCAAACACGGTGATGTGGACGGGCCCAATGAAGAAGCAGTTTGGAGATTTCTTCATTTATGTCTCTTGTATCCAGGTCAGCCTCCACTCCTTGCTGCAGCTCAGTCCCCGCAGCCCTCCACCTCCGCCTCAGGCTCCGGGGGCCATATCGTCACCGCCATCTACCCTCCATCCCCGAATGTCACCATGGCAACAGGGGTGGTCTCTCTGGCAGCGGTGCCCCCCAGTGTGGTCTACTCTGTCTCCAGCCCTTCGAGCGCTTCTCCCCACATCCTGCCCAAACACACGATGACCCCCACAGGCGCCCTGCTCCCGCATCCTCAGCCCCATCCAGAACGACAGGCCGACCGCCACCTGCTTCCAGACAGGTCTGCTGATCGACAGAACGAGAGGCAGGCAGAAGCCCTGGCACATGCAGACAGACAGATGGAGAGGCAGACCACAACCTCTGGCACCATCAGCTCAGCAGCTCCATCTAGTGGCACAGCTGTGTCTATGAGACCCTGCAGTCCTCCCATCCAGATCCAACCACCCGGTATGTTTTAACCCTAAATCAACTCTCAAAAATGTGTCGTACATTAATTTGAATAAAATCCGACTGATTTGCAGCCAGCACACCCAAGCTATCACAGCTTCCAGCCAGGGTCCCTCAGAAGGTGAAGGCAACAGTAGCGACCATCCCTGTGGGCAGCTACGACGGAGGAGGCCGCGGCAAAGACCGAGACAAGGACAGGGAGCGAGAAAGGGAAAAAGAGAAGCAAAAGGAAAGGGACTCCGCAGCAAACAGTCATTTCTCCTTTGATTCTGAGCCACCGGGGCAGACGGGGTCTCCTTCAGCACATCCTGCTGAGGAGCCGCCATCCTCTGACAGACCTCCAGAGGGCTCTAGTACTGCAGACTCGTCCGACACAAGGACCAGGGAAAGCACAGCCACCAAAGAGGTGAGACCAGCAGCACTTTACCGCTGGAGTCCTCCTGTGTTTCAGCATAAATCACCTGTACTGAACACTGTCTCTGCAGGCTGGGTGGAAGGAATCGCTCCCCTCCTCCCCTCTGCCCCCCCCATCTGCCACAGAACCCACTCTGCCACCCCCACAGGCTGACAAAGATGGTCCCACACCCAAAAAAATCAAAGCCCGCCCACCACCACTGAAGAAGACCTTTGATTCTGTTGACAAGTGAGTCAGTGCTTTGTTGAACAAGCTGTGCAGAATCTATTGATGGACTGTGTGTATACACTCAGCCGTGTGTGTGTGTGTGTGTGTGACTATTGGACTGGCAGGGTTCTTTCAGGGGTGTATTTTGAGGAACGCTTTGCCGAGCTGCCAGAGTTTCGACCCGAGGAGGTTTTACCCTCCCCCACCCTGCAGAGTCTGGCTACTTCACCTCGTGCCATCCTGGGCAGCTACCGACGCAAGCGGAAGAACTCCACAGGTCTGGTGTTCATTTCAGCGTCACTGATGCAGCATCACTGATGCTGGGCGTGGTTTGTTTCTAAATGCTCTCTGTCTGCGTCCAGACCTGGACTCTGCCACGGACGAGCAAACCTCTCCAAAGAGAAAGAGTCGGCGGCGCTCCAGCTGCAGCTCTGAGCCCAGCACGCCTAAAAGTGCCGCCAAGTGTGAGGGAGACATCTTCACCTTTGACAGAGCGGGTAAAGAGCAGCTTTTCGAGATGTTCCTGCTGAAATAAGTTCAGAGAGAGACGGATAAGCGGCTTGAGTCCTGCGCAGTTCTGTTTAAAATCACTTGATTTGGAATAATGTTTCGTTCATTTCTCTTTCCTGCTTTACCTGGGACATTAAGACTAAACCAGTTTCTGAAGGCTAACCCACTCTGTGTTTACGGTGCTTTCCCAGCCACTGATGGAGAAGACATCCTGGCAGAGCTGGAGTTCGAAAAGGTGCCATACTCCTCCCTGAGACGAACGTTAGACCAGAGGAGAGCGCTCGTCATGCAGCTCTTCCAGGAGCAGGGCTTCTTCCCATCAGGTAGGACACACACACACACACACACACACACACACACACACAGACACAATGCAGGATTAGTGTCTTAATGCAGAAATGTGTTCCCACCTCCAGCCCAGGCCACCGCAGCATTCCAGACCAGATACTCCGACATATTTCCCACCAAAGTGTGTCTGCAGCTGAAGATCCGGGAGGTCCGGCAGAAGATCATGCAGACAGCGACTCCGACTGATTCCGCTTTAGGCCCCTCAGATTTAGCCTCCTCGCTTCCTGGACCGTCTGGCTCCCAGTCAGGGGAGGGGGCGATGAAAGGAGGCGTAGACCTGCATGATGAAGAGGCGGAAAAGGGAACGGAGGCGAGCCCAGAGGATCCTCAGGATTTGCAGGACTCTTCTAGATGAGTGAAGGCAGACAATCAGTAACTACTCGTGTCGCTCTCTTTCCACCTTCGTGCTGATCCTCATCCGTACTCCTACCACCTGCAGGTGCCCGTCATTAAGAGCGAGGCGTGGTTGTTTGCAATATTTGGACTCCTTTTTTTCCCTAACGTGTGGGCTTTGCACCAAAAACATGGACGTTTGGACCGGAGTGGCACAGAAAATCCCACATGTAGGAACTGTTCATTCCCTGACTTGAGTCAGCACTATGTATTAGCCGCCGTAGACGGACTGGTGCCAGTGAACGAAGGACCATCATGTGCAGCTGCATTCGTTTGCCTTGAACGGTTTTAGTCTTGGACAGAGAAACCTGCAGAGGCAGAGACGTTGTTTTTAATTGAGTTTAGTTTCAGACATTAGCGTCTGCTCGAGGAACGTAAACTCAGCTGTTTAAGATTGTGACCTGTTTCTGCTGACCTTCGGGGGCTGGTCCCCCATCAGCCTGAAACAATGCGACGACATCATGAAAGAGATGTTCTTCTCACCTGTAGACCTTCAGAGGTGTGACTGAAGCTCAAGCGGACTTCTGGCAGCGACATCATTCCTGCAGATTCCCGACTAGCCAGGTCCCGTTCTTCTCGCTGAACCCAGCATTCCTGTGCCTCATCAGCTAGCCATGAAGGAAGGAGGGTCAGAGTCACCGGGCACACGGTTCTTATAGACGTAGAGGTCAGGCTGAAAACACCTTCATCCTCTATTGCCAAGCAGTTTTATTGACCTTTTTTGCCATTTAGATGTGTTTTAACATTCATATTCAGTCGTCGTACTACTTTTATGGTTCTTACATCGTTCCAGTGATCGGTTTGTTTTCTGGCAGTCGTCAGTTTTCCTGAATAACTTTGGAGGCAGGTGAGATGCTGCTTCACACCTGTACAGTTCCTCCATCGTAGTCTTCCCGTGACTGGCCTCTCACCTCAGCAAGGACCCGTGGTGCATTTCTCTTTATCCTTTACTTTTACAGGAATGCAAACTTGGACCTTTTTTGTCGTCAACAGTAATAAAGCCGTATGGTTTTAGAGACCCCCCCCCCCACCACCGAACCACTTATACACCTCTGTCCTCCCCTCCTATCACTTTATTGCTCTCGCTTGACCTCCCTTCTAGACGGCGGAGAAAACCAACTGGAGGGAAGTAAAGGGAGGTAACCAATCAGAGAGCTGCTTGTCTTGGTGTGTTGTAAATAATTACTGTAGAGTCGGTAGACTCGTCATCGCTATGGAAAACCTGTCATTGACCATAAGTTGACTTTTAAGACATCATTACTGAACACATAAGATGGAGATAAAAATAAATATGACTATTAATGTGTTTTACTTGTTTGTTTTTCAACAGAACAGCACTCGCTCGGGCTCGGGTCTTCCACCAGGATTTTATGCGTGTGATTAAAAAGTCGTGGCAGCAGCTGCTGACATTTCCAAAAGGTTAAAGAATCAGATTTCCAGCTCAGGTGCGGACGTAATGGCAAATGGGACAGCAGTAGCTCAGGAGGTAGAGCGGGTTGTCCAGTAATCGTAAGGTTGCAGGTTCGATCCCGGCTCCGACCAGAGAATTCTGCTGTTGTGTCCTTGGGCAAGACCCGCCTTGTCTCTGTCAATGCGCCCCAGGGCAGCTGTGGCTACATCGTAGCTCATCACCATCAGCGTGTGAATGACTGTGTTGTGAAGCGCCTTGGGGGGGTCGTAGAACCCTAAAGCCTGATTCATGCTTCTCCGTCTGCGCCAGTGCGGAGACACGCATCGTCCTTACGGGCCTGCTGGAGAGCCCCTGCAAGGACATACGAAGTCGAGCTCTTTTCTAAACATCCGTCCGTCGAGACGGAGAACGCAAGCTTGTGATTGGTCAGGACGCCGCTGTCGTCTACGCCGCCACCTTTGTGCCCTCAGAAACATAGAGCCGAGAACAACTAGCGGCAGACACGGAGCAGCTTGAAGAACACCTCGCGAAAAAACTAAAAACATGAACGTTTAATTCTCCGTGACTGGAGGAGTGAAAAGATGCACAGCAAGTTTTATTTGTGGACGGAAATGACAGGAAACGTGGGTTTAGAGGTGGCGAGCGCATAAAGAGGTGGGAGAATGAGACAAATTTGTCTGTTAAAAAGTCTCTAATGTACAAAAAACAATATAAACACTCTTGGACCGGATACGACAGAACAGCGCTACGCCCTCTGGTGTCCTGGCGGGGAATTGCTTTGCAACACTCCAGGAGACCGATGAGGGCAAAATGCCTCCGTCCGTGCGTCTCTCTCCCTGTTGGAGCTGACGGAGAAGCATGAATCAGGCTTAAGAAGGCGCTCTACAAATACAGGTCATTTACCATAATCCCTCTGGATTTCTGAATCCGTGTTGGGATGGGATAAGCCTCGACCGCCACCAAGGAGATCAGAAACTGTTCCCGGGAGCGACGCATCAACAAACTATTATAACTTTATTTATCTGGAACAGAATGACTCTAGACTCAGACCACACAGATCAGCTTAAATACAGAGATCATAATTACTTCACCAGACCTTTTAAATTCACCCTCTGTTGAGTGAAAACGCTGCAGCTCCTTAAAAACGTTTATTAATGTCACATGGTAGCCGTGCTTTCATGACATAAAAGTGATTCAACTTTGAACGGTACAATTTTTCATCTGTGGCACAAAACAAGTCCTTAATTATATGAAACGTATTTAAATGACAGATTTCTTCACTTCCTGAACGCTGACACTGATTCCTTCAGGGGGAACCCGGCATGCTTTGGTCTGTTTGCCAAATTCATTTCCTCCACAGCATACATATCTGGTTCCAGTAAAACACATTGAAAAAACCAGAAGTCGAGCTTTCGCTTCAGCCGGAACGAGAACTTTTAGGTTTTGGTTGTTTTCTCTCACGAAAGGTGGAGCCCGTCCGCCGTGAGCCCGCTCTCCAACGCCGTCTGGTAGATCTGCAGAGCCTGCTCCAGAGGCAGCGCTCCTCCCTCGCTGGTCTCGATGATGGCGATGGTCTCTCCAAACTCGTTGCACATAATGGTGGAGGTGCCCCGAGTCTGGAGAACGAGTCAAAATTAGGACGCGATTCAGACAAATGGTGTTCCTGCATGAATATAAATCTATGAAGTTACAACAGGAATTAAATTATTTACTGGGAAGATTTTACCTGCTGCAGCTCTGATGTTTGGATCTGGATGAGCTGAGGCTGCCTGCTGGTCAGATCCACAGCAGACTCTTCCACCACAGCCACAGCGGCGCTGGTCTCCACGGCGACCTCGTCCTGCCGCTGCTGCCTAGCGTGGGTCTTTCTATGGTTCCTCAGGTTGGAGAGGGTCTTGAAGGCTTTCCCGCACAGCGGGCACGGGTGTGGCCGTTCGCCTGTGTGCTTTCTGCGGTGCTCGGTCAAGTGCATGCTCTGAATGAAACCCTTCCCGCACGTTTCGCAGCGGAACGGTCGTTCGCCGGAGTGCGTGCGCAGGTGCTCTCGCAGGTGCGTGCTCTGACGGAAGCGCTTCCCGCACACCTGGCAGGGGAACGGCCGCTCGCCCGTGTGGACTCGCTGGTGGAGCGTGACGGCAGAAGACGACACGAACAGTTTGCCACAGATGGGACACTGGTGAGCTTTGGGTCGTTTGCCGGGGGTGCAGCGTGGTCGCCCGCGGCACGACGCAAAGTGGCTGAGTCTGTGGAGTCGCAGATTGGCATCAGAATTCAACTTCCTCCCACAAATGTTGCAGTCTAGATTCCCTTTGGCCAGGCTGGCCGACTCCCCGGGTTCTGTCGCCGCCGCCGCTGAGGTAGAGGGCTCTGACGTGAGGTCTTTTAAACCACGGGGCTCCCTGCTCTCCTCCGCGACCTGAGCGGGGTGTTGCTCCAGACAGTGTCGCTCTTGTTGGGTCTTGGTCAGGAAGCCGGCTTCACAGTGAGGACAGGGAAAAGGAGCCGGAGCTCCTGGATGCTGGGTAAAGCGATGCGCTGCCAACTTGTTGGCCCGGTGAAATGTTGCGGGGCACTCGGGGCAGGTCATTCTTGGAGCGCTGGAGTGCAGCAGGCTGTGCTGACGGAGGTTCGACGACTGAGAGAAGGAGCGGTAGCAGACGTCGCACCGATACGGACGCACGCCGGAATGAATGAGCGTGTGCCTCATCAGATTGGCCAGCAACGAGAAGGTTTTGCCACAGTCCGAACACTGGAAGGGCTTCTCACCGGTGTGTATGCGCATGTGGTTTTGCACGTGAACGTGCTTCTTGAAGGACTTCCTGCAGATGCCACAGACGAACCTGCGCTGAACCACGTGGGACTGGCGCTGGTGGTGCATGCGCAGCAGCTGAGAGGGAAACGTTTTGGAGCATGAATGACAAGGAAACGAGTCGGTGCCTGTTAACGAGTTTACAGCAGCATCTCCGGAAAACACAGAGCTAATTACAATCCTACTCTTGTCCAGAGGAGGCGGATTTGCAGAGGAAATGGCATCTTTCTCTTCAGCCTGCTGGTGGTTCTCAGTGTTGCCGTGGATCTGCTCAGACGCCTGCTTTTCAACATCAGTCTCCGCCCTCTCTGCTTCACCTGCATTTTGGTCACTGACAGAAACTGGGTTTGGGTCCGCGAGGGCGACCACCTCTTCCTCTGTGAAAGGGGGCTGCATGATAACGTCTGACACCTCGATTTGGGGCTTCTTCTTGACCCTTGATCTCTGCAGGATGGCAAGAGCCGTTGCAGATGTTCTTTTAGGAGGCGAAGCCTGGAGAAGACGAGAAGCAAACGTCAAAGAGAACCACTACAACAAGCTGTGGGAGGAGAGGTTATCGGTGAGATTTCTGACCACAACAACAGGAGTGGGTACGTTCAGAGGGTCCCGGTTGAAGTGGGTCCGACGGTGGTAAAGGTACTTGGTCATGTTGGTGAAGGTTTTAAGGCAGACCTGACACCTGTGGAAAGGATTTGGGATGTGCGACCTCCTGCGAGCGAGAAAGGAGGGAAAAAGCCGAGCGTTACTTAAAGGAGCGCTTTTATGCTAAAATCACAACAGCAATGATGTCACCTGTGCACGAGGAGCGTCATCTCAGTGGTGAAGCCGTTGCCACAGTCCACACACAGATACCGCGCCACGCCCGAGTGTGTGCGCATGTGCGCCTGCAGCGATGCGTCTCTCTTGAACACCTTGCCACATTCTGGACAGTCGTACGTGCCCTGCTCGTGCACGCGCCGGTGAGCGTTCAGCCGGTTGACGGAGGTGAAGCTGCGGTTGCAGAGGTCACACTGCCTAGGCTTTGTCCAGGACGTGACTTTCGTCTCTGCTCCTCTGATCCTCACGTCCTCCAACTTTTCTACGGTCACTTCCCGTCCTTTCATCTCCTCGAGGCCGGTCATCACCCCTGGACCCCCGCTCTCTTTGTCTTGACCTAGGAAGTGCTCTCCCTGGTGCTGCAGGAAGTCCTCGGGGGTCTGGAAGAGAAGTGAGCATTCTGAGCATTCATACGGGTGGATGACCACCAGCTCTGTTGGCTGCTGCTGGCTGTCGCTAAGCACGCTGGAGGCCAGCCTCAACTGCAGCCTCTGAACGCCGTTCTCTAGAATCCCTGGCTTCGCCAAGGAGCTCCGGTTCCCCGCGGGCAGCAGAGGAGGCGGCTTGGAACGGTCTGCCAGAGCTTGAGCTGTGAGAATCTGCAGGTGCATGGTGGCGGAGCCGGGTGCCGGCATCACAGGGGGCAGCAGGTAGGAGTGGGAGGATTTGGAGGCAGATGGACGTTTCTTCGGCTGCTGCTGCTGCTGCTGGTGGGCTAGTACCTAAAAAAAAGAGTTTTCAGAGGTCAAGATCAGGGATAAAACCTCAAACTAACGGTTTATGCATTTTTTTAAGGTCTGGAAGCTTTCAGGCTGATTTTTCCCTTCTAAAGCTAAACAGCACAGACTCAACTCCAAAGTCCCAGACGCAGATTCAAAGTACCTGTGCCAAGATCTCTCCCGCCTGCTGCTCACTCAGCACAAAGTTCTGCATGCTGTTCAGCGGCGTGATCGTTCCGTCCGGCTGTATCACGTACTCCTGTTATACACCAACAACAACCAGTCAGTGCAAAACTTACTGGACTCAGAAATCTGCTCTTTTACTGATAATCTCTAGTTTTAATCTATGGAATACATCACATGCACTAATGATGAGTGGAGCGCATTGCTATGAGAAAAGAGTTGGGTTTAAAACGGCACATTCATGTGTAATAAACTACGGCTTTAGCCCATTTAACCAAACTGTTGGGCTTGTGAACGACACGCATCATGGTTTACAGATGGTTTCTGTTCATAAATGTTTTTATTAAAGACCAACTTCACCCGTTTTCTCCACACATCTGCAGGGGTCTCTAATATAAATGTATGCCTTATGAGTCCATCTCTGAGCGTAAAAAGCTCTGACGCTCCCGTTTCAGGAAGTAGAACTTAGTCAGGGTGGAAGTGAGCTACAGGCGACAGGGTTTGGCGTCTTATTTCCTGATATTCTGACACCTCGTCTCTGACTGGCTGACAGCAACGTGACTACCACTGACTGTTTGCTCTGCAACGTTGTTTTATCTCCATAATTAACACAAGCCTGGAGGAGTTATGCCGTGTGGTGGAGTTGCTAATGCTAATGTTAGCTTCTACTAGCTGAGACGTTCTCTGCTGTTTCCTGGCTGCTAAATTAACAGCCTTCCCTGGATAGAAGACCATTTTTACATTTACTCATTGGCCAATCATATTTGACAAACAAAGGTAAAGTTTTTCAGTGAACTTGGTCTTTAATTTTTTTTTAAAAAAAAGCGACCTAACCCTAGTCCCAGACCATCACACGGCCACCACCATGTTTTTGATGAAACGCAGAGTTAGTTCTACAGACAAACATTCAAATAAGTTCTTAGAACCCTCCCATGGATGCCCACCCTTTTATTGAACGGTGAACTTTGACCTTTTCCTTAAACAAGTGAGCCCTGTGGGGCTTCAGATGTTTGTTTGTTTTTTGTTTATTCTGGTGCTGGAGCTCTTCAGAGCAGGGCACGCGGTGTTGCTTTTTGAAATCTTTTAGCCTGCTTCATGTCGTCAGACTGGTTCTGTTGACGTGATTGTACAAGTGCGGCCGTAATCAGGCCTGGGTGGGGCGAGTGAAAGTGAACTCAGCTTTCTAAACAATGTTTAACATACATTTTCTGTCAATAAGGGAGTAAATACTTTTTACAACCCTGTAAAAAAAAGACATTTCTTTGTTTTAGTTCCTAGTTAAGAGTTTTAGAACAATATTTAGACTAAAGGATAGGAAACGTTGAGGAACTCTGTAGAGAACCTGCACTGTGTGACAAAAATGGGAGGACTTATAACCTAATAAAGTCACAGTGATCATATGATATGGTATTTTGTGTTCCTTACTGTAGTCTGTGTGTTACTGTGTGTGCTGCTACTGTTGTGGGTTCGCCGGTGCTCCAACCAGGCATCAGGCGAGTCAAACAGAGCCAAACAGTCAAGGCACTGGTACTGAACAGGTCCTGAATCCTGAATCTGTGAGCTGGCTTGCTCCATCTCTAGCACCTCACACAGGCCTAAACAAACACATGGACACCGTGTTTGTTACTCCACATCAAAAGCAGAGTGCCTCTGAAAAAGGATTACAAAAACAAACTGTAGTTTGTTTAAAATCTTTCTTTTGCCTCCATCACCTTGCTGCTCCACCTCTACCCCCGCCTCTCTCATGTGCATCTCCTGATGCTGCAGCAGTTCGTCCGCATTCACGAGGAGGCTCCCGCACTCCAGACACTGGTACTGCTGACTTTGCTCCATCTCTGGGGTAGCCGAGGCCTCCGCCTCCACATCCTGGCCTGTATGGATCTGCTGGTGGATCAACACATCCTGGAGGGTGTTGAAGAGCTGCTGGCACTCGCTGCACATGTACTGGTGCTCCACATACACGCCCTCTTCCTCCTCCTGACCCTGCTCGGCCATCATGACAGCGTGTCTGACTCTGCTCCACCTCGAGCAGGTTGTGAGTGAATCATCAGAGGAAAGGTGTAACAACTGGACAGGATCCAATGAAGGAATGCAACTTTTGTCACCCACAAAGTCAGGCTTAGAGCAAACCTGCAAAAAAAATTAAAATCAGAATTTAGATGACAAACTTTAAAAAGCCACATTTCAGCCTGTGAGATCTCATCTGATTTGGCATTCACCTAAGTGACAGCTGAGAGGTAAACAAAAGGCCTCTGTTGCTAACAGGACGGCCTAAGCTAAACAGAAGCTAATAGATCCTTGTTTTCCTTCCACATTAAATTCCTATTTTGTTTAAAATGTGCGGTAGCTTATGGAGAGCTGTTGGCGGCGCTCCCTCGGAAGTTGCAGACCTGTTTCTAGGCACCGCGGTTTCCTGACGGCGGCACCCCGGTTCATCGGGCGGTCCGTCAGGCGGCGCTACCCACTTTTCCCCGAAGCTCTACGGCTACGACGGCGGGCCCTTCTTTTCCTTACCGCTCATTTACTCGCGTTGGACAGTCCTTCGCGTGGTTATCAGTTGCGTCGTGGTCCAGCTGGCGCTTTCTGCCAGGTCTTTACCACAAGTCGTGGTTTACAAAAATAAAAAGTAAAACGTGTCCGCGCGAATGTCCATTACAAAGCGGGTAATGTAACGTTTACCCGCCGATGGTCTCACTCTTGTGATGACACGCCCCGCCTAATGCGGTAGTCTCGACGTATCAGAGCTTTTGATTTGATACTCGGGCTGTCAATCAACTTATTAAGTTAGCTCATGGGAAATGTAGTTTTTTTGTTGTTCTTTGAAACGTATGATCATGTATTGTATCTGTGGATACAAACTGTGTGTCTATTACTTTAACTACTCCTAAACTATAACGTGTTCGTTTATATTTAAATACGTATGAAACGATCTCTTGTTATTGTTGAAGGTGCCATCCTTTGAACTTATATACTAAATACCAGACAAACATAAAACATTAACCCAAACGCGAACAATTGTGATGCACATTAGTTGATTCATACTGATGCAGAGTCATTAGACAAACTTTGTTGACTCATAAATTGAGTAAAGATGAAAGTTTCACACGTGTCTAGATGACAAGAAAACAGAAGTACAGAAAATTAAATATTTAGGGTCTCAAATTTATGTGAAATTTAATTATCTTTATTTACATGATATTTTTTCTACTGTGTGTCTTGCCTTGTTCTAGTCCTTGGGTCTTTAATGATTCATTCATTATTTGACTGATTACTCTTAGATATTTTTTTGTTTGTTTTTACTTTAGAAATTTAACAAAAACATCAAAATTTGTCTGTAGTCTTTTTTTTCTAAATAAAAACCCATTTTATAACAATTACAGATTTAGGTGAAGATAATGTATAAATTTGAAACATTTATAGAAAAAAACAACTGCTTTTGGCATTGTGACATAACATTAGAGCATACATCTGCCTTTTTTGAGGAGGGGTTCTGTGGAAATGTGGTCAACTGATTGTGTTACCTGTTGCGAAGTATTATTTGCTTCTACCAGAGACAGCAGAGATTAATTACGACTGAACAGAAGGGTTAAAAATGAGTCACAATGGGGTCAGTAACAAAATGTCTCAGGACAAAGTCAGTCTTAAAAATGCCATGGTAGTTTAATTCAGCCTTTGTGTTTTAAAGAGCAAGTCAACCCCTACCAGATTCTAACTCCACTCCCACTTCATGTTTGAAAAATGCAACAAATGCTGTTGCCAGGCAGATCGAGAGGGCGGAGCTGCTAACAAATACACACACATAGGCTCACAACAGCATTGTGACATCATAATGTACCAGATGACATCATAGCATACCTCTTAGCCAATAGCGGTGGCAGATTTAAATTAAAATACAGTGCAGAGTTTTTACCTGACAACGGCACAACACTGCCAGTTTTAGGCAGAATATTTAAATTTTAACTAAGATGCACTGAAGTGCCAAATTATTGACGACACGTGTCTGCAGCATGATTAGACACTCGTTTATTTAGTTTATCAGCAAAAAAAGTTTATTTGGGGGTGACTTGCTCTTTAACTTTCACTCTGATGAGTACTATGACTATATATTATTATGGCAGGCTGGCAGCAATTTTATAGAATAACAGCCAGAAATAAACAAGCTATAATTTCCTCAAAGCATCTCCTAACCCCAATGATGTAATGTAAAATTTGGGGTTGGCATAAACTACTTGGAAGCATTTTTGGAATATATATACATACATTTTTGTGCCCCCCACCCCCGAGACCATATGGACAAGCGGGCTCAGAAAATGGATGGATGGGTGGATATATATCAGGCCAAACGGATTAGGGTCATTAAAAAAGAAAGAGAATTCCTACTTTTTTGTCAGAATTCTGACTTTTTTCTCAGGATTATTAAAGTTAGAATTCTGAGATTTAAGTCAGAATTCCGAGAAAAAAAGTTTTCTGAGATTAAAGTCAGAATTCTCTTTCTTATCTTTTCATTCTTTTCAGTGGCCCCAATCCTCCTCCGTACTACGAGGACTAACTTCCAATCGTCTGTCTCTCTTTTCCAAACAGATAGCTACAAGGAAGATACCAAATGTTCTTAATTTTCCTGAAAATATTGGCACTTTCCCTTTAACGCCAAAGAGAACTTGTTTTCCCATGATACATCGGGACCTTTACGTCGTCGTACGTCAACTCCCCAGTCCCCCCTCCATCACTGTTCTACAGAGGAAGAAAGGGGGAGACGGAAAACCTGTACTGAACGCTGTAAGTGTAATTTTGCTGTTTTTTTACTAAACATAGTAACATACTTATATTTAGCGGAGTGTGTTCTGGTGTTGCTGCTCTAAACATTCAACCTTGCCCCGGCTTCAGTTCACCCAAATATGAGCGGCAGCGGGCGGGCCAGGACCAGCTCTTTCGCTGAGTCTCCCGGAGCTCCCGGATCTGCTGCAGCCGGTGCCGGATCGTCGGTAGCCAGCGGAAGCTCGACAGGAAACACTGGGGCTTCACAAGCCAGTGGAAGCGTCTCGATGAGCTTTGGGAATTTGAGACTGCCTAGCAGTAGTAAGTTTCCGTTTTATTTCCGCCATGACAGCTCCATGTGTGTTATCATCAAGACTCAAAATGTGTTTTATTCCAAAGCACCGGAGTGTGTTAAGTGTCGATTGTTGTTGCGAAGCTACCGAGTTAGCCGTTAGCTGCTGCGATCAAGGGCTTTCACCAGGGCTAACGATAAAGTTAGCTCTGGTGGTGAAAAGCTTAAAATTAACCCGCTGATATTCCTCCAGTAACCAATATTAATTATTTATTTAATTTATATTGCAGAACATTTATTATTAACGTGTAATAAATTAACGGAGACGGGCATTTACGCTAACTTACGTTTTTTTAATCATATGTGGAAACTGGAAACTAGCTTACAGTTGCTAGAGTTATCGTCCTGAGTTTTGTCGGATCCTTACCAAATATGTTTGGTTCCAATTTGTCAGCGTGTCAATTATTAAGTTTTACTCTAATATGGCACATAAAAGATTAATCGTTAAAATGCTGAGTTTTAGTGAACCTATGTCTGCTTCAGCAGTTATTGACCTTACCTGAACGTTATCTCACTCCGCTCGCTAAGGTGCTCAATCTCAAACACGAATGAAGGCATTTCTGCCTGAATAAATACAACTGGTCTTTAATTTAATCACATATTGAGTCATCCCCACAGCTACATATGAATTTCAGTGTGCAGGAGAATGAATATGAGTCAAAACTGATGCTTTGTCAATGTAAATTTTATTTAAATTGGACTATTACTGTAAGTATCAAGAGTCAGCCCAAACAAGGCAACAAAATCTAATACAAACTAAATATAAAGTTAAAGATATATTAAGGTTTCATTTGAAATAAAATTATTTAACAGCTTTCCATAGAGTTTGATGACTATCTGAACAGGTAGCTGGGTTTGTTGGAGCAGGGACACAGCCAAAACATGCAGGATGGTTGTCTCTGAGATTCAGGATTGGACTCCACTGGTGTAGGGGGACATTTGTGGTGTAATGTGGGTCTCACCGTTGGTTTTTGTAAAGCTGGGCCACTCTATAAGTCCTTTTCTGACTCCGAGACGGTGGCTGGGGTAGAAAATGAAATGGCTCCCAATAAAAGGATTCCGTAATGAATGGCAGCAGTGAAGCAGTAATTGTCCTTGATCGAAAACAGTGATAAACAAGCCACTATTGAATCATGGCTTATAGTCAGTTTAGAGTGATAAAACTGAAAATAACGGTTAGTTTTGACAAGGTTGTCCTACAAATAAAGCTCTCGGCTTAAAAGAACTAAAAGTCACTAGCTTTTAGTAAAAACTGGGCATTTTTTAATCTTCATTTAAAAACAAATTGTTCTTTATTGGGTGAATTGTTTGGTGTCTAATGTTTAATTTCACAGTGCTTTCTCCTGCTGAGATGCAACAAAATGATTTGTGTTTGCAAAAACACAAGAAAAGTCGCCTCCACCTATTGGCAGTTTGGCGGTTTAGATTTTTAACATCCTGTCATTTCCAGCAAAACTCCTCTTTCCCAATTAAAATGTCAACGCTTCCATAACATCCTGTCACTGCCGCATGTTCCTTTTGTATGAGATGATCCTGGAAACTACAGGTGAAAAATTAGAATATGGTGCAAAAATTCATTTATTTCAGTAATTTAACCTAAAAGGTGAAACAAATAAATCAGACTCATTAAAAGGCTTAATGAGATTTTCAAGCCTTTATTTGTCATAATTGGGAAGATTATGTCTTACACAGGGTATCCGCGGGTCCTTAAAAAGTCTTAAAAAGTCTTAAATTTACTTTTCCAAATTTAAGGCCTTGAAAATCCTTAAAAATGACAAATAATCCTTAAATACAGTTTCCAAAGGTCTTAAATTACCAAAGACCCAATAAACAAGATTATTTTATTTCTATAAAAATTTTCATGAATTTCTAGTTAGTGTTCAGCATTTTTTGTGTACGATTTTGGCGTAAGCGGAACCGTACACATTCAGTTGGTTGTAAAAGGGGGCTGTTTTTAGATGAGCACATTAGCTGGTTAAGCTAGTGGGAGCTTGTGCCATGGGAAGTGCAAGTTTAATGGTAACTGGATGGTTAATCCTACGTTCACGACGTGGTTAGCACCGGTTCCAGGCAATAGCTGGAAATTATAGCTTAAATTTAATTTTAAAAATAGCTTAAATTTGGTCAAAGTTGCCTTAAAAAAGGTATTAAAAGTCTTAAATTTGGCTCCCTTCAACCTGCAGATACCCTGCTTACAGCGTATGAAAAGCCCAAATTCAATGCTAGTTGTGATTTGCGTGAATGCTCTAAAGCGTTTGGCTTTTGGTTCATTTCTTGAAAAAACACGACGCTTCTCTTGTGCAAAATCTGTGGAAGGTGCCGGTTTTCCGGCGCTACAGTAGTGTCCATCTAAATCCATAAACCCTGCACACCTGCTGTACTTCAGCTGGGTCTCCATCACTGCAGAGTGTTTCACAAGAACAGTAGTTGTGAAGTTGCTGCGACCCGGTCGTGTAACCATCACAGTTTGGCCCTCGTTAGACTCGCCATAATTCTCACACTTGCTTCGTTTTTGTTTAGTTTTTTTCTTCCAGTTTTCATCGCAACCATTTCCAGGACAGAACGTTCACTTGTTTAATTTATTCCACCCACGGTAAAACACCGTTTTACCAAGAGGATGTTTTCACTTTACCTGTCGGTCGATTGGAGGATTGCATTATTACATTCAGTTTAAATAAAGGACAACTCTACGCCTCTTACAGGACGGCTCCTTCTGGAATCCTCTCGTAACGCCAGCTGCTTTGACCCATCCTGACTTTAATCTGTTCTCCCATTTGTATATAAAATGTCATTTCAGTAATGGTAACCTTTCAAGTTGCCACGAGTCATGACCAGTCTACACAAAAAGAAAAAGTAACGTAATTAGTTCAGTGATTCAGCGTGACTCGAGGGTTGGCTCGTCAGTCTCTGGCCCCTCGTTAAAACCAGTGCCAGTGTGGTGGGCGGATTTCCTTTCTGTCAGTACCAGAGCAGCTTTTGGTTCATTAATCACCGCTGAAAAAATGTGTGTTCAACCATTCAGCGCAGAGACAGTCCGATTTATCATCGACGTGCAACTTAGGAATGTGGATGAACTACGTTAGCGTAGCTCCTCAGCCGGACGAGTCATCTGTAATGTATGTTGTGTGACTCTGTGGGGTTAGTTGAGATGTGTTGTGCTCTAGAGAGAGGTGAACCTGCAGGTGTGTGAATCATGAGGCACCTGTAGCCTAAAAGTCATTTATCTGCATCCCACTGGTATGAGTGCATCATCAAACACTGTCAGAGCCACGAATGATACAATATTAGTTGTAATTTATCAGAGAACCGACAATCATTTCATCAAGTAAAGCTCGTGCTGGAGTTTTACGCTTAGCAAGAAGCTCTGAGGTAATTATTCATTAAAGAGCAAATCACCTCCTACCAGGTTCTTACTCCACTCCCACTTCATGTTTGAAAAATGCAACAAATGCTGTTGCCTAGCAGACCGAGAGGGCGGAGCCGCTAACAAATACACACACACACAGGCTCACAATGACATTGTGACATCATAATGTATCAGCTGACATCATAGGGTACCTCTTAGCCTATAGAGGTAGCAGATCTAAATTCAAATACAGTGCAGAATTTTTCCATGACGACGGCACAACACTGACAGTTTTAGATAGAATATTTAAACTTTAACTAAGATGCACTGAAGTGCCAAATTATTGAATACACGTGTCTGCAGCACAATTAGACACTCGTTTATTTAGTTTATCAACAAAAAAAAAGTTGATTTGGGGGTGACTTACTCTTTAAGTGTAGGTGCGATGAAAGTCACTCTGCTCGTCCGTTTCCCTTTACTCGTCAGACTCGTGTTGGCGCGTTAGAAACCAAACAGCTGGGCACGGCGCTCATCTTTGCATTTATAATTCAAGGCACTATCATGCCACAGCTGCTCCATATTTAATGTGTTCCCCTCTGACTTAGTTGTTTCAGAAAGCAAAGTGTCAGCGCGGTAAAAATGAATACAAAGGACTCGAGTTTAGTTGAGTTATGATGTGAAGAAAAGGGGTGCAGCAGTTTTCTCTTTCCACAACCCGATGTAATGATTTAGTCATTTAAAGATGTAAAATCTGATTTCAAATTCACAAAATAATGCTTCAGCTTTGTTAAAATCAGACATTTATGAAGCCTGTTTAGAAACCTAGAGGGGTCCTGTTGAGACAAGCGGGTTGAGCAAGCAGAGAGAAATGGTTGCACCTTTGGGTGTGCTACTGTCCATGCAATTTTTATCACAAGCCCCGACAAGCCTTCTGGCAGCGGGCCTCTTAGCTGCTGCTTCTCTCCTCTCCTCTCTCCGGGTTTTTGCTTCCCGTTTGTCAAATCGTTTGTGACCGAACAAACTAAACCCACCACACCAGCTGCTTAACCCTAGTTGGAGTTGTCAAAAAGGGTAAACCACGTAGAAACGTTAGCCCGGCGGGTTTACTGTACAGCTAGCCAAAACTTCCACCTGATATCCTTCATGGCATCAGACAACATTCTGATGAGCGATTCACTAAATGTTCATGTGTAATCCTAAAAATGCTGACTTTTGTTTCTGATCTTAAAGGGGCATTATGGAAGTTTGACAGCCAAAACATGTATAGAAATAATAAATGTCTTCTTCATACATTCTCCTGCAATGCCCTGGTCCTGTAGAATGAGCCCTGGCATTTTTACTGTGATTGCCTGTTTTTCTGTAAAATCACAGAAAAAGAGAGATGCTCGGGTCGAGCAGGCTGCTTCATGCACGTTCACGCTCAGGCATCGCCCGTAGCATTTGCTATCCGTAGCTTTAGCAGCAGAGAGAGAGGCAGTGCCACCTAGTGACAAAGCTAGCTACATTTCTGAGGACCCTTAGCTACTTTCTGTAGAACTTTCTTCTAGATATTTCCTGCAAATTAGCAACAAAATAGCCATTTTCGCTCCGAACCGTTCTTGGAACGTTGTTTCAGCTGTCATCAAGGATGTAGATGTTACAGATACAAGTGACGTCACTGGCGCTTTAGCTCACCTAGTAAGACGTCGGACTCCCGTGCAGAAGACCCGGGTTCGATTCTGGGTGTGAACGAGTTCATTTAGAGTTTATTTTTTACATTAATGGTATATTTTTTTACAGTAAGATGCCCAAATTTTTATTTGAGACTCGCCGAACGGCATTGAATTCACAGATAAAAAAGATGTGGGTTCAACTTTCATTTTGGAACCATTTTTCAAGCAAGGGAAGGGAATGATCTGAGCATGCAGGAGGACTGACCCATCATAAACCTTTGTCGGCTGTGCTGAAGAGAAAGGTACAAAACCAAATTATTCACTTAATTAGCTGCGTGTTCTCCTGTCCTCTGTCGTCCGACACACACACACACACACACGCACACACACACGCACACACACACACACACACACACACACAGACACACACACACACACACACACACACACACACACACACACACACACACACAGACACACACACACACACACACACAGACACACACACACACACGCACACACACACACACAAAGAGGACTGTCTCAGCTGTTATTTTCGTTAAGGAGTGTGCACGTACAGCATGCGCGCCTCGTGCACAAGCCTCCTATTGAAGCTGCCGTTACGCTTTTGGCCTGAGGGGGCAATCGCGAGCATAAAAATTCAAAAGTCAGTAAAGTCCCTGTAAAGGGATTTGTGTTTATTTTAGCTTTTTTGTGTTTATAAACGGGGAATTTAAAAGTTATAAATATAGTTTTTTTTTCAATTTTATGGATAAAATGATTGTAAATATGCATAAGTAATGATTCATAAAGTATTGCACAAAAGAATCCTTTGAGTGGATTTTTTATTTAAACCCAGGGCTCAGCTGTAATCTCACAAACACGCTGTTGGTGAGTCTGCTGCTAGTGTGCAAGATTTTTGGAATGTATTTAATATTTGACACGATGCTGGAGTAAAACAGGTGAAAAAGCAAGAGAGGGTAGAATCAAAGTTCAGGAGACCAGACTGAAGGGTTTAGCCCCGTGGAGTGTTGTTGGGACGTCTCAGTAGCTCATTACCAGTCAGCAAAGCCCCAGAAAACAAGTTACATCTCTTTAAAGGAATGCTGGTGTCATTGTGCAGTTTAAGGATCTTTTTAACTTTCTCCGTTATCCACAGGAGACAGCGGCAAAGTGACGACGGTGGTAGCCACGCCCGGGCAGGGCCCTGACCGCCCTCAGGAAGTGTCCTACACAGACATAAAGGTCATAGGAAATGGCTCGTTCGGAGTGGTGTACCAGGCTCGCCTCATCGATACTCAGGAGATGGTGGCAATTAAGAAAGTTCTCCAAGATAAAAGATTTAAGGTAACGTTCCGAAAAGTTGTTTCGTATCGCTTACATGCGACTTCTCTGACTATCTTTTAATGTTTGTTTTCTATTTTCCTTCATTGTAGAATAGAGAGCTGCAAATTATGAGGAAACTGGACCACTGCAACATTGTAAGACTACGCTACTTCTTCTACTCGAGCGGGGAGAAGGTGTGTATGAATGGAGAGGTGTTTATTCTCTTATTGGAGCAAAGGACAGGGTATCCGTGGGTCCTTAAAGCAAGTCACCCCCAAATCACATTTTTTTGCTGATAAACTATATAAAGGAGTGTCTAATCATGCTACAGACACGTGTAGTCAATAATTTGGCACTTCAGTGCATCTTGGTTAAAATTCAAATATTCTGCCTGAAACTGTCAATATTGTGCCGTCGTCAGGGAAAAATTCTGCCCTGTGTTTGAATTTAAATCTGCCACCGCTATTGGCTAAGAGGTATGCTATGATGTCATCTGGTATATTATGATGTCATAATGCCACTGTGAGCCTGTGTGTGTGTATTTGTTGGCGGCTCCGCCCTCTCGGTCTGCCAGGCAACAGCATTTGTTGCATTTTTCAAACATGAAGTGGGAGTGAAGTAAGTTTCTTGTAGGGGGTGACTTGCTCTTTAAAAAGCCTTAAATTTGCTTTTCCAAATTTAAGGCCTTAAAAATCCTTCAGAATGACAAATAATACTTAAATACAGTTTCCAAAGGTCTTAAATTACCAAAGACCCAATAAACAAGATTCTTTTATTTCTATAAATTTTTTTTGAATTTCTATTTAGTGTTCAGCATTTTTTGTGTACGATGTTGGCAAAAGCGGAACCGTACACATTCAGTTGGTTGTGAAAGGGGGCTATTTTTAGATGAGCACATTAGCTGGTTAAGCTAGTGGGAGCTTGCACCATGGGGAAGGGCAAGTTTAATGGTGACTGGATGCCTAATGCCACATTCGCGATGTGGTTAGCACCGGTTCCAGGCAATAGCTGGAAATTATAGCTTAAATTTACTTTTAAAAATAGCTTAAATTTGGTCAAAGTGGCCTTAAAAAAGTCTTAAAAAGTCTTAAATTTGGCTCCCTTAAACCTGCAGATACCCTGAAAGGAGCTACCATCTCCCACACCCCTGACAGCTGATGTTTTTGAGCTTATGCATGAGAGGTTAAAGGTCTCACGCTGGAGCAGCCAAATACAACTGGAGGCTAAGAAGAGCAAATATCTCATCAACCAGTAGGCAAAACAAGCTAATGCTTGCCGACTGAAATTGCGATTTTAAATAATTCAAATATCTTTTGTAGGGCTCCTTACTGACCCAGGATCTGTCAACTATTTCACACATCCCAGGGTTTCCCCTGGTTGGAAAGTGTTATGATGGTGGGGGGGGGGGGTTACGGGAGCTGAGCTCATCATGAGCTATGGACTGATGAGCTAATGGCTAGTTTCAAGACCAAATTTACTCATTTTTTAAATACAAAAGCTCTTGCGCTCCTGTTTCAGGAAGTAGAAATGATCCTGAGCAGAAAAGGGCAGAATTTGGAGTCTCATTTCCTGATATTCAGACATCTCACCTCTGATTGGCTAACAGCAACGTGACTCTTCTACTGACTGTTTGCTCTGTGACGTTGATGTTTTATCTCCACAAACAACACAAGCCTGACGGAGTTCTGCTGTGTGGTGGAGTTGTTAATGCTAACGGTTAGCTTCTACTAGCCAAGACGTGCTCTGCTCTCTCCTGGATGCTAAATCAACAACAGCCTTCCCCGTCGTGAGTCAAGACTGGGGCAGCAGTAGCTCAGGAGGTAGAGCGGCTTGGCTCATGATCGGAGGGTCATGGGTTGGATTCCTGCTCCCGCCAGAGGTTTTCTGCTGTTGTGTCCTTGGACAAGACACTTCACTCATCTTGCCTGTGTTGGTGGTGGTCAGAGGGGCCGATGGCGCCCAATGGCAGCCTCACCTCTGTCAGACTGCCCCAGGGCTGCTGTGGCTACAAAGTAGCTTACCATCACTAGCAGTGTGTGAATGTGAGAGTGTGTGAAAGCGTCTTTGAGTGTCCTAAAAAGTGCTGTGTAAGTTAGATGGATTATTATTATTATTATTATTGTTATTAATAAAATGTGTCAGAGTTGGGCGTTCTAGTGCGTTTTTGTGAGCGATGAAAAACAGTCAAGCAGCGACTCGCCTTATGGGCTCGACACACGGGAGGCGACAAACGACCGGGATCAGCGAAATTTGTCTCTGTCGCTTTTATTACCTGACACACGGGAGGCGATCCGCGGCAGCGGCAAAGCCGTCTACGCGTTCTGTTCCATGGCGAAATCGAAACTTCCGTTGTTTTGATTGGCTGTGTCAGGTTGGAGGGAATTAAGGTTATTTAAGCGGTTCAGAGTTAAAAAAGCGGTAGATATGATGCTTCACAAGGTGCTGCTAGAGTTATGTGAAATCTTACTTGTGATTTTACTATAAAACATAATAATAACCAACTTCTCCTTCATGTTTGCTCGGAGGTGTACGGAGCATCCTGTCCGCTCATTGGTCAGTGAATGAAACCTCCGTTGATTGGTCCTCGTCCGAGCGACAGCGATGAAAAGTTGGAAATGTTTCAACTTTCTGGGATTGCGTCGCTGGGTCGCCTGTGCACGACACGTGCACGAGCGCAAAATTTCACATGCGCGTTTTTCGCGTTTCGCTTGGTAGGAGGGAGACCCACGATCATCGCTCATTGAAAATGAATGGAGGAGAGGCGATGTCGCCTCCCGTGTGTCGAGCCCATTAGTAAAACTCTGCATTCAAGAATCACGTTAAAGGTGCGGAACACCGAAAAAACCTGTTTAATGATTATTATTTTGATTCTAACGGGTCACTTTGAGTTTTTCATGCAGGCTGAGAATGAAAATAGTCTCCTACACCTATCTCCTGCATTAGCTTCTGATAGAAAACAGACGGTGAAACTCTAGGATTAGAAAAGCCTGACAGATCTACGTCACACTGTCACTTAGCATTCATGGGCTCACCTATCTGGACTCACGGCGTGGAAGACTGTTGTTGGTTTAGCGTCACAGTAGGGAACGTCTCAACTTGTAGAAGCTAACCATTAGCATTAGCAACTCCACCACACAGCAGAACTCCGGGTTTGTGTTCTTTGTGGAGGTAAAACATCAACGTTGCCAAGCAAACAGAGTAAATGGTAGAGTCGCGTTGCTGTTAGCCAATCAGAGGAGAGATAAGAGTCTAAATCCTGCCACCTGAAGCTACTTTCTCCACCCGCTGACTTCTCTGTGCCGACGCAGGCGCTTCCCTCAAGGACGACTTACGAGGCTTTCGTTGCTACCAGAGACGACTGCAAACGTATTGATTAAACGAGTGTTCAGCGCCTTTCATAAATACATTTGAAAACAATTTTTACCTGCAGCTTTTAATGTTTTGGTGGTATGATGTCATTTCCTGTCATGTTTGTAAACATTACTGTGTGTTGTGGACATTGCGCTGAACCTTGATTAGAATACAATTGTGTAACGGAATAGAGTGATGTAACTATCTAGAGTTGTATTTTAATACACTGTAAGTAGATCACTTTTTATAATCAGAAGAATAGGTTGTTTTTATCATCAGGGAGTTCATTTAAACACTCTATATTGACTTTGAGACAAGAAAAGAGAGAGAGTTGGGATCGTTTGAGAATCTTTAATTTCTTAATTATAAATTCTAAACAATCTACCAGGACTAACTCTGTGATGGATGAAAATGGATTTGGATGTTGTGTTGGTGCGTGTGTGTGTGTGTGTGTGGTTGGTTCAGACTCCTTTGGCTGACGTCATTGAATCTGGTAGTCTTTGTTATGACTAGATATCACGAGGCTTATAAAGTGATGACATGAGCTGCTATTTTGCCGTGTACGTACCCAGTGGGGGCCTCCCAGGTAGATCAGGAAATGCCAGGTCCAAGAACCTCGGATGTGTACTGGAGCTGTCGAAGCAGCGGTCGCAGCACGTCAAAGCCCGTCTGAAGGGTCGACCCCGGTACCAATCGGCAGCGTCAGCAGGTGCTCTTATTTTGAAAGGATGTCGTCTGGTTGTTAAACGACGAAAATCTCCAACTTCACAGTTCTTAGTTTAAAGAAGAAAACACATCTGGCCAGGCTGTGCTTTTCTTTGGGATGACGGTGAATAGAACTGAAGTCAAAATGGAACTGAGCTTAAAATGGCGTTGCCTTGTTTTATATCTCTGAATTGTTGATAAGTTTTAGTAAAGCGGATTGGACACTTTAAGTCAACAAGCCAGATTCTCCTGCGGCAGCCGAAAGCTCTGATTGGTTGGAACAATGTGTCATGCGTTTCTATGGAGATGAGGGTCAGTCTGTCTGTGCAATAGTCCTGTTTTCATTAAACACATAAATCATGACATCTTCATTCCACAGCTCATTCACTTGATTAATTATTGATCAACATCTGTTTCGAATAGCTTTAATCACAAATTAAGTACTTTGATTATTGAAAAGCTTCTTCTTCTCCTTCTGGCTCTTCTCCTGGAATGTAAACAGTCTGAGGAACACCCGACCTTGGCGTTTTCTACACGGGTGTTACTGTGCACAGGGGCAGCTGTGTGGAGCTGAAAATAATGAACTTCATAACCTTACAATTGTGAATCCAAGATTAAATCACAATTTTTGCCAGAAAAATTGTGATTTAATCTTTTCCTAAAACCCTTCAACCAGTGCAGACTAAAATAAATAAATAAATAGATAATAGTAATTAATTTTAACAAACAAGCTAACATATCGTCTTATACCACGTCACAACAGGCAAAAGAAGACCGTAAACACACACAACGGATGTTTTACCAAACATTTACATCTGCTTTTTCCAGATCAGCTCATATTCTGGGGTGCTAAACCCAGTTTAACCAGTCTGGAGTGAACGTCTCTGGAAAATGCCAGGACCGCTGCTGAAGTGTGGAAGTGGCTTCAGAACGAGCCGCGGTTCACTTTTCTCCTGATCCCGTTTCTTTTGTGTCCTCCAGAAAGACGAGGTTTATTTGAATCTTGTGCTGGATTTCGTCCCGGAGACGGTGTACAGGGTGGCTCGGCACTTCAACAAAGCCAAGACCTCCATACCCTTCATCTACGTCAAGGTGAGGAGAAAAATCTGCACTTTGGTCTTTCTGGGATTCTGGGATTATATGTATGTAATCCTTCAAAATGGCACTCGACATCTCCGTCTGGAGCAAATAGATGCTTTTAAATCACTTTTATTTCCAAACTCTTTTTTTGATTTATTTGGTTTTTCACTTGTTAAAGTAAAAGTAGTGAAAAACTGAAGGATGGGAAATTTCCTTAGTAACTGCCCTAGCATGTAATAATCCACTCAGTGTGTTTGCGTTCAAAGGCGGCTTGGTGTTCCAGGATAATGAAAGCAGCCTCGTGGGAGTTAAGCAATACCCTTGCTAAAACGGTGCTGGCATTAGTGTTTGTGTGTCTGCTGCACACGAGGCAGCAGAGAGGACGTTATAGCTGTCTCACGGCCCGTTTCCCCACCTCAGCCTGCTGCTCCCCAGAGGCTGATCTCTCTCCCTCCCGACATCCTCCTTCCTACAGCGACACACTTCCATCACTGATTGCCTTCTTTTCTCTCTGAGCTCTCATGTTTGATCTTCAAGCCTCTCTGCCCTCTCGGTAGCCGCCATCACTTCTCACCCCTTCGTCATCTCCTCTGTAATCTGGCTGGCCGGCAGTCGCAACACCCCGAGTGCAATAATGACGATAATTGTGGTTATGATGACGATCATTAGTCATTTTTAACGCGATCTTTTTTCCTGCTTCCCTCTGACTCTGCGTTCTCCTGTATGCTTTGTTTTTAGACTGACATCACTGACTTTGAAGTCATGCATCTTTATTTATTTATCTTTCTCCCTTGTGCCGTTTCTGGTGTAGAGACGTCACACACAGCTGTGTGTGAAAACCAGAACCATGTTTACACACACTTAAAATGTAAAGGTTGTATTGAATTTCAAAACACAGATTATTGATGATCTTTTATCTGGTTTTGATCCCTTTTATCAAATTAAATGAGCAAGTTTACTTGTTATTTCTGAAGCACGATAGATCACTCTGACATTAACCCTCTGGGGTCCATGGACGCGTATCTGTGTCTTTTGAACAGGTCTGATTTGGGACGCTGTAGCAGCAAGACTCCGCCTCCCTGAGTTTCGGTTTCAATTCAGCTTCAAAAAGTAGATTATAAACTACACCCCAGGTTTTAAATTTTGTTAATAGGCAACGTAAAAGCGGAGTTACACTAAACTAAAAAACTACCTATTTTTAGACAATCTGATAAATTTTCAAAACAGCAGTTTAGTAATCCGTGAGAGGGAATGTGCTCGTGAACATAAAAAACATGAGATCCTTTTGCTGTTGGTGGAAGTCTCACATATTCAACTGATAAAAAGTATCATTATGTAGCTGAGAGAGAGAGGAGGGCCGCACGAGTAACGAGATGTGCGCAACAAGGAGCCGCTTCGCGGGGAAAGGAGTGGCGCGAGCGGAGTAACAACAAACAATTAGATAGGTATTGACGGTAAACTTCATATTTTGGAGCGATCCGGACAGATATATTGTCTCTGCAGTTTAGTAGGCTTTTATTAGGCTTAAATAAAGGATGATGAGAAGGATAAATGTCCACCAGGCAGTCCAGATAGTACGGCTGTTTTTTGAACTGGAAGCAGAGGAAGTGGACGGAGACTCGCAGCCGGAGTCTGAGGCAAATAGCGAGGATGTTGATGACGATGTGGCGGATCCATCCTTCCTCATAGAAGAGTTGGGTCATGATGAGAGGATGAAGGCAGAGATCCAGCTCCTTGGAGATCCAACAAGAGGAGTGGGCGGCGCCACGCAGCTGTCAGATCTCGGCGTGAGACAGAGCCACTCCCCACTCCAAAATCCATGTACATTATTGCCAAATTAATAAAATAAGTATAAATTCAGATAGTCCAGGTTGTCCTGAAAAAAATTATACCCCATAAGGCAATATTTATTGTTTTTATTAGAAAATACAAAAGAAAACCCAAGAGTCAAAAATGGTAATTTACACCCTGGACCCCAGAGGGCTAATAATTTTTTTTTAATTGTTATTTGCTATATTTATTCATATTTTTTATAAATGTACAGTCTAGATTACCATTCTAAATTATAAAAAACATTCGTCATAAATGTTTGTTGGTTTCAGATTAGAAAAGCCTGACAGATCTACGGCACGACTGTATGTTGGGATTCATGGACCCGCCCATCTTTGCTCGTGACGGAGAACGCTGTTGTTGGTTTAGCATCCAGGAGAGAGCAGAGCACGTCTGGCTTGTAGAAGCTAACCGTTAGCATTAGCAACTCCAGCACACAGCAGAACTCCTCCAGGCTTGTGTTATTTGCGGAGATGAAACATCAATGTTGCAGAGTAAAGGGAGTCGGTGGTAAAGTCGTGTTGCTGTTAGCCAATCAGAGAAGGGATGTCTGAATATCAAGAAGTAAGAGTCAAAAACTTGCCGTCTTCTGCTCCCCTCTCCTCTGGCTCACTTCTGCCTCCTGAAACCGGAGCGCCAGAGTCGTTTTCCCCACAGAGACCCACAAAGTATTCATTAAATCCAGAAACCACAGCAGATGAGTTGAAAAAACGAGCGAACTTTGTCTTACATGAACTCTAGTGGAGTTGTGCACCTGTGACTTTTGTCCATCAGTAATGTGACCCGTGTGTTCAGATGTCCCTTTACTTTCTCCTTCACACACATTTGATGACTCCTTTCTGTCTCAGGTGTACATGTACCAGCTGTTCCGCAGTCTGGCTTATATCCATTCCCAGGGTGTTTGTCACAGAGACATTAAGCCTCAGAACCTCCTGGTAGATCCAGAGACGGCCGTTCTCAAACTCTGTGACTTTGGCAGGTCGGTCAAATCCTCTTCGTCTGCCTTTTGTATCTGAAATTGCTTATTGGTGCCACCAAAGTAACTTATTTTTCTTTCGTCTTTCCACCCCTCATCATCCTCATTCTCATCATCATCGCCCTATCAAAAAATGTTCTAGTGCAAAGCAGTTAGTTCGAGGGGAGCCAAATGTGTCCTATATTTGCTCACGGTACTATCGTGCCCCAGAGCTTATATTTGGCGCCACCGACTACACATCCAACATCGACATCTGGTCGGCCGGCTGCGTGTTAGCGGAGCTGCTGCTAGGACAGCCCATCTTCCCCGGGGACAGTGGAGTGGACCAGCTAGTAGAAATCATCAAGGTAACTTAACCAGGTTGTGAAGGGTGTCACATGATGATACGACGGGTGTTAACTCTTTCATCTGGTAGATTTTGGGGACGCCAACGAGGGAGCAGATCCGGGAGATGAACCCAAACTACACAGAGTTCAAATTCCCCCAGATCAAAGCACACCCTTGGTCAAAGGTATGTTTTTATCACTTCACCTCCTCCGTCCTGGTGTTTCGGAAATAAATCGTTCTTGTTTTATTGTATTTGGCTCACGATCCATCCCTTTTAGCCAGTTGAAGTCGTGCTTGACGTGATTTGTTCTGTTAGGTTTTTAAGCCCCGTACGCCACCAGAGGCCATCGCCCTCTGCTCTCGACTGCTGGAATACACGCCCGTCTCCAGACTGTCTCCCCTTGAAGCGTGCGCGCACGCCTTCTTCGACGAGCTTCGCCTGCCCAACACCCGTCTGCCCAGCGGACGAGAACTGCCACCCCTGTTCAACTTCAGTCCCGTTGGTCAGTCCCCGTCTTCGTCCATCTCCCTCAGCGCTGATAAAGTCAGGAACTGATTACGAGGATTAACATAAAGAAATAAAGTCATTTCAGCCGTTTATTTTCTTGCTTTTGAGTGTAGAGTTCCTAAACCAGCTTCATTTGTGTGAATCCACCCAAAGGATTGCTAGGAAAAGCAAAGTTTTTGGAAAAGACTTGGAAAATAAAGTATCGGCTTTATGCTGGACCGTTGGTTAAATATTCATTACATCCTTCAAAAAGCTGATGAACAATTCATTTTAGTTGATTCTTTTAATTTGAGTTTAGTCATCCAGCTCACAGCAGACGTGTGTGTGTGTGTGTGGGTGTGTGTGTGTGTGGGGGGGGGGGGGGGGGGGGGATTTTATATACGAGTCCTGTTTATACAATTCCAGCATCATCATAGAGTTGGAACATGTGATCAGATATCGCTCAGAGATGAGACGGATTCTCACGTCACAGTTTAGTATCTAAAGCAGGGGTTCCCAATCCTGGTCCTGGGGGGCCGGTTTCCAGCACGTTTTAGTTTTAACCCTGTTTAAACACACCTGGTTTTAATCAGCAGGTGATTAACGGACTTCTGCAGAGCCTGATGAGCTGCTGCACGGGTGCTACAACCACAGAAAACTAAAGCCGTGCTTTATACCTCCACGATTGTTTTTTAGCTTCTCTGCTTTCACGTGTACAGATTAAATGTACTTTTTCTTGTAGTATTTTATGTGTAACACGGGTTTTGTGTGTATCTGCACACAGAGCTGTCTATTCAGCCCCAGTTGAACCCCACACTCATTCCTCCTCACGCTCGTGCACAGACGTCGCCCGCCTCACACGGTACGTGCAACAGGACGCCGACACGCGACTTTTTCTGACGCAACGCTCATGAATCAGATGCCGATTGTTCTTTATTTTAATCAAGTTGTTGTTTGGCAGAATCTCATGATTGGTGTGTTTCCTCTCTCCTCCTGCAGAGGGCAGTGTGTCAGACAGTACCGCCCAGCCCAGCTCAGCACCGGGATCCATCAACAACAGCACCTGAGCATCTTTCCTTCCGTCACATTTTCTGTTTCGTCTTCCCCGTTTTCCTGTTCCTTCCCTCCACTCCTCTCCCTCTAAGCTTATTCGTGGCTCCATCCCTTTAAAATAGGAGGAAATAACCCGTCACACCCACATAACCCCCCTTCCCCAGCCCCAGCATCGAAACTCTCCTCAGAATGTCACCCTTTCCTAATAGAAGGCAGCGTCTGTAGCTGCTGCTCTGGGAAGCTGTGGGTTGTTTTAATGTTTTCTTAGCTGCACTTTGGTTTAATATACGCTGCAGTCCTATCTGTAGGGACTGTTACGATAAAGAAAGTGGATATTGATTGTATTTCTGATCGGCGTTTTTATTTTTAGGTTCATTTTATTCGCATCAGCTGGTTTGTGTGTGCAGCCGTGGCGCCGCTGCTTAATTCAGCCGGCTTTTTGAGCTGAGACGAAGGGTAGCGTGCAATTCCCGACCTATATGTTGACAATCATTTTTAGTGGAGTCAAAAATGGCTTGGTCGTAGCTGAAGAGTCCAGCGTGTAGACTTAGAGGCTCTTTTGTTTTCCTACCATGAAATCAGCTCAAAACGTGTTGAAGTTGTTTTAATCTGCAAGACGAAGCGCGTCGTTTTAAATGAGAGGTGGTTTTAATTTGTATCACAAAAAAATAAAAAATCACCACAGGTGTTCACCGTTAGCTAGCGTCTTAAATGCCTTTTTACGTGATCTAAGGGAGCTTTAGCCGAGCAAAGCTTCATTTTGCTTCTCATAAACTCATGTTTTCGTTGGTTACCGTGGGAACCGAGAGCTTCCGTTATTGTTGCACATGTCAACAGGAAGTGGAGGGAAGCAAAGGGGCCACTTGTGTCCAGCTGGGGGACAAAACGTCACGGAGGGAAGCTAGTCGCTTTTGATTCAGAATCGCCATCCCGTCAAACGGGTGAGTCATCTGGGATACGTCCCTTTCTGTTTCATATCGGCGCGATCATGCTGAAGAATGCAGCCCAGAGGTGTTAATTAAAGCATCCTGCTTGTGACGCTCATATCATGTTCCAGCTAGCGGTCGTCGGGAGTCATTACTTCTCACAAATACGTGCATGTGGAGTTTTTAAGCCGGCCCAAACGATAATCTGACCAGATTTTATGCTTAGACCTGAAACCCAACAGCTTTTGGAGCCTCCCCATCCACCCTTTTCCTCTTCATCCCTCTGTCCCCCCTCCTTTTTTATTTCACTGCTAAACTGTAAATATCAAGTACCTTTTATTTTGTTATTATTGTTATTATATTGCTGTTCTTGTCATTTTCTTTTTCTGTAGTAGATCGGTCCCGCAGCAGCCGGGCCGCTGATCCTCAGCCGCAGTCTGTAAATAGTTTATTTCAGTCCCTGGATCAGGAGAGGAAGAAAAAAAAAGCAGAACAAACATTTTCAGTTTTATTCTCTCTCCCTCGACCTCTCTGATCAGAACTGTCCCTCGTTAATGTTGTCATGACTGTTTTATTTATTGGAATGTTTTAGGTGGGTTGGGAACGTTTGTTTGGGTTCAAATCCAGATTTTAGTCACTTGCAGAACGATTTCACATCCAGGATGCTGTACCAGAGGTCTTACGTCTGCAGGTGCACACACCCGCCCACCAGAGGAGCTCCAGTTGTTCATGAAACTTCAGTGTGAAGGGAATGGTGTGTGTGTGTGTGTGTGTGTGTGCGTGTGTGTGTGTGTGTGTGTGTGTGTGTGTGTGTGTGTGTGTGTGTGTGTGTGTGTGTGTGTGTGTGTGTGTGTGTGTGTGTGTGTGCGTGCGTGCGTGCGTGCGTGCGTGCGTGCGTGCGTGCGTGCGTGCGTGCGTGCGTGCGTGCGTGCGTGTGTGTGTGTGTGTGTGTGTGTGTGTGTGTGTGTGTGTGTGTGTGTGTGTGTGTGTGTGTGTGTGTGTGTGTGTGTGAAGAGAATCGAGATGAAATCCTCTGTCTGTTTTTTGTTTTCTGTGTGAGTGCAGAAGGTCTAACCGGTCAGTACGGCGTGTTTCCTTCACAGCTGCACTGAATGTGTGTGTGTGTGTTGGCTGACCACAAACATTCCCCTACATGAAAAGCTGGCTACCTTTAAGTCTTTTTATTTTATTTCCGCAACACTTTTTAATTCGCAGCCACCTTTTATCACCCTTGTTAGCGGGTAAAACGTCCTCGCTGGGAACAGAACAGTTTGATAAATTAGATGACGAAGGAGGGGTGGAGGGAGAGAGATCATTTTTGTTTGTTGGTATAAATAATTAACTCATTAATAAAGTGATGAAAATGTTTCTGTTGCATTCATGACTGAGTTACACTCGTTTAGCCTAAGATGGTCAAATTTAGTAACACTTTTTTTCTTGTTTAGGAAAAAAACAACTTGCAAACCATAAACTTGAGTAGTTGCAGCACTAATGGTCTGTAAAATGAAAACATTTGAAGCTGTTTTTTTTTGTCTTTGCAGTTCATCTGTGGTTCACACTTTCATCAATAATTCTTGTAACTGGATTTTTATGCCCTTGCTTTGATGTAGAAAATGCCCCGCCCCCTCTGAAGAGTTCTAGTAAAACAATTTTATTTTTGTTTAAAATCTGTTTCCATGAAGAAGGAAAAAATGTGGTGATGGGTTTTTACTTTGTGCAGAGCAGAAACGCACATTAGTTCAGCACCGCACGCGTTCCGACAACAGGAGACGGGTGAAGACCTTATGGGCCATTCCCATGTGTACCAGGTCGGCCCGGGCCGGGTAGCCCCAGTCGGCCCCAGCCTGGCCCGGTTGATTCCACACATCCTTGCCTTAAGCCCATGTGGGCTGGTTCTACCCACCAATCAGAGGCTTGCTCTAATGAAAGGTGTGAATTTGCTGTCAGCAGTGGGTGTGTTGGCCCTGGTCGGCCTGAAGCAGACCCCCTCGAGAAGAGGGCTGAGAATGAGCCTTGGTTGGCCCGGAAAAATACCAGGCCACCCAGATATGTTAGTTATGACGTTCTGTGCTGCTGCCTTCTCCTGGTTGTCATGGCGACGAGGACTGTGTTGCCATTTTTTACCACAAAAGTTTCCCGTTCTGTTTGAGATGGAGATGCATCTGGGTTTTAATCCTCCCCCATCTTCTTCATATTCCGCCCTAGCTTCCAAATCAAAAATGATAAATTTACAAAAATGTGAATTATCGGGCGCTGCTGGAGAAGCTGCCTTGAGTGATGGATGTGGCTCCCGAATCTTCAGCTAAATCCATTATTGAAAACATTTTTTGAAGGATAGGTTAGGCCTGGTAATTTGTAAAAATTTAAATTTATAAATGTTCTCAGCTAAATCAGTAATGATCCCACCACCCTTAAGAAGATGGGAGGAAACGTCTCCCTTCTGGGTTTGTGGCGAGTCTGACTCGCTGACATCATGGAGGAGCGGTGAGCCTGTTCAAGTGGGCTTTGGGCCACTGATGGACCTCGTCTTTCTTGTTTTGTTGAGCTGACAGCACGAGTTTCAGATGCTTCCCTGTGGAATTTAAACGCTGAGCACTTCCTATAGAAAACGAGGCGGGTGATTTTATTTTCCTTTGAAGCTTTTTTAATGAAATGTAGGTGAAAAGCAGCTCTTGCTTTGCCCTGCAGCAGAACCAAAGGGATCATTGAGCTCTGTGACAGATCAGCTGGATAAGGATGTAATCAGAGTGGTTGCTATGGGAACCACAAAACAGCAGATATTGTAAATATTTTGACCTTTGACAGATGAAATATTTCACAGCTGGTTTATAGCAGATATGAGCATGCATCGCTGCAGCTTTTATTTTGTTTTCAGTCAAATCTTATTTAAAATAACGAGCTTTGCTCCTCCTTGACCTTATTGTGGTGGAGGAGTTTGAGTGCCCTAATGATCCTAGGAGCTATGTTGTCTGGGGCACTTTGTGCCCCTGGTAGGGTCTCCCATGAAAAACTGGTCTTAGGTGAAGGGTGAGACAAAGAACGGTTTAGATGATCTTTCATGGAGGTAAAGTCAAGGAGTCGGAGTACCCGGCCCGGAGGGTTGCCGGGGTCCCACCCTGGAGCCAGGCTTGGGGTTGGGGCCTGTGAGTGAGCGCCTGGTGGCCGGGCTTTCGCCCATGGGGCCCGGCCGGACCCAGCCCGAACCGGATACATGGGCTTATCCAACTCTGGACCTGCAGGAGGAACATGAAGGGTCCGGTGCAGTGTGGTTTGGGTGGCAGACCGAGGCGGGAGCCTTGGCGGTCCGATCCCCAGACAAGGAAGCTGGTTTTTGGGACATGGAACGTCACCTCGCTGGCGTGGAAGGAGCAGGAGCTTGTGGCAGAGGTTGAGCGGTACCGGCTAGATATAGTCGGACTCACCTCGACACATAGCATTGGCTCTGGAACCCAAGTCCTTGAGAGGGGTTGGACACTCTCCTTTCCTGGAGTTGCTCCAGGTTAGAGGCGGAGGGCTGGGGTTGGCTTTTTGCTAGCCCCAGACTCTCTGCCTGTGTGTTGGGGTTTGCCCCGGGGGACGAGAGGGTAGCTTCCCTGCGCCTTCGGGTCGGGGAACGGGTCCTGACTGTTGTTTGTGCTTATGGGCCAAATATCAGTTCAGAGTACCCACCCTTTTTGGAGTCCCTGGGACGAGTGCTAGATAGTGCTCCATCAGGGGACTCCATTGTCCTGCTGGGGGACTTCAATGCTCATGTGGGCAATGACAGCTTGACCTGGAGGGGTGTGATTGGGAGGAACGGCCCGCCTGATCTGAACTCGAGTGGTGTTTCGTTATTTGACTTCTGTGCAAGCCGCAGTTTGGCCATAACGAACACCATGTTCGAACGTAAGGATGCCCATCGGTACACTTGGCACCAGGGCAGCCTAGGTCGCAGGTCGATGATAGACTTTGTAGTCATATCATCTGACCTGCGGCCGTATGTTTTGGACACCCGAGTGAAGAGAGGAGCGGAGCTGTCAACTGATCACCACCTGGTGGTGAGTTGGATCAGATGGCAGGGGAAGATGCCGCGTAGACCTGGCAGACCCAAACGCATAGTGAGGGTCTGCTGGGAACGCCTGGCAGAAGAACCTGTCAAGATGGTCTTCAACTCCCACCTCCGGCAGAGCTTTAACCGCGTCCCGAGAGCAGTGGGGGACATTGACTCCGAGTGGGCCTTGTTCCACTCTGCGATATTTGAGGCGGCTGTTGCTAGCTGTGGTCGCAAGGTGGCCGGTGCCAGTCGTGGTGGCAACCCCCGTACCCGCTGGTGGACACCAGAGGTTCGGGGAGCCGTCAGGCTGAAGAAGGAGGCCTACAGGGCGTGGCTGGTCTGTGGGTCTCCGGAGGCAGCAGACAGGTACCGGATAGCCAAGCGGGGTGCAGCAGTGGCAGTTGCTGAGGCAAAATCTCGGGCATGGGAGGAGTTTGGTGAGGCCATGGAGAAAGACTATCGATCAGCTCCAAAGAGGTTCTGACAAACTGTCCGGTGCCTCAGGAGAGGAAGGCAGCAACTCGCTCACACTGTTTACAGTGGGGATGGGGAGCTGCTGACGTCAACTGGGGATATAGTCGGACGGTGGAAGGAATACTTTGAGGAGCTCCTCAATCCCACCTACGCGTATTCCGAGGAACCAGAGCCGGGAGACCTGGGGATGGACTGTCCAATCTCGGAGGCAGAAGATGCTGAGGTAGTCAAACAACTACACAGCGGTGGAGCCCCGGGGGCGGATGAGATTCGCCCTGGGTACTGATAGGAAACAAGATTCTAGCTTGTGCAATCCAGATTCTAACTTGTGCAAAACTGAACTTATGCAAGCTAGTTTCTAACCTGTGCAAACCAGTTTCTAACGTGTGCAAACCAGATTGCAACTTGTGCAAACCAGATTCTAAATTATATAAATGAGTACCCATTGTGCTACAGTTTTGTTTACCTATAACAAAATACAAAAACCATAGTATCTGGTGTGCAAAAAAAAAAAAAAACAACAACACAGTTTTCTCCACAGCTCCTATTCTGACTTTGATAAAAGCTACATCCGTGTTATCATTTAAAATGTAAATACCACTCACCTGCTTCATGGACAATCTGGAACAACAGTATCTAAAAATTGTGAGTTGTTGTTTTCCTCTGATTCAGCCAAATGTGATTCAAACAAACGTGTTAAACTTCAAGGTTAGCTAGCAAAGATTTAATGATTTTAACACATTTGATGTGCCATGTGCCATCTTTGTGTTTTCTAAAGCAGTCTGCATCATTTTATATTGAACTAAAGAAGCTGAAATAATTTACTTTCTTTTCAATTTTTTGCCATTTTGCTCATTAATCATATTTTAAAAAGTACAAGAAGAGTTATTTAAAATGTCAGAAAATTAAAAGCACAGAAAAAAGACGAAGACTTTTCATTGATAAATGATCTCGTTCATAACGCAAATAAAAAAATGTCAAGACATTCCCGTGCATTTTTGCCATAAGTGTGGACCATCGACATATATACTGTGTGGACTGGTATTGTGCATAAAAGCAAAGCTCCAACCTCTAAATTGTTTTTTAGCTGAATGGATTCATGACTGATTCAGTCAACATGTACAGGTTCTACGGGCTTTTCCTGCTCGACCCTGTTAGAGTAGTGTAATGCAATAAAAGATGCTTTTGAAATAAGCAGGTTAGGAAAATAACCGATGATATTCATCTATTCGGGAAGTCATTGATGCATCCTAGAATGAAATGGACAAAAACTAAAATGTTCATTTTTTGCTGCATTTGGACAAACGTTGTTTATGTTCTCATTCTGGCCTGAGACACTTAATTATTAAAATATCACTGCCTGAGTACATCAACTGCTGCAGCAGCACAATGCAGACGGATTTGCAGAGTAATCAATGCTGTCTGACAACACACCCTGTTCCTCCTGGTACCTGTAGTCTCTGAACCAGAACCTTCATGGAAACGTGTCTCTGCTAAGCTGCCATCACACCGATCTGATATGCCAGGGGCAGGGCTGAATAATGCTTCTCTGTTTGTTGCTCAGATTTGACAGTTTCCATGGAGCCTCACTGGCTGGATGCCTGAACGAGTATTTAATATCATTTGGAGTCAAGTTAAAGCAGTCTGAAAGAGCTCAGTCAGTGAAGCATTCAGAGGCACTACGTTTGGGAAATCTAATGAAGTAGACCCATAAATGCACTGACTTATATGTTTTGGGGGTAATTTTTTGCAGATAGTTAGATTTAATGAGCCCCTGAGTGTAGGTGCAATATATGTGGATGAAATAATGATAAATTAGTTCAGAGCATCCTGCAGAAACAGAAAGATTGTATTTGATCAT